AGGGTCTTTTGCTCCGCCTCGCCCCTCTACCATGCTGCTACTCCCTGGGAGACAGCCGACTAAGGGCTGAATTTGGGAGCCAAAGTAAACATCTCCTGCTTTAGGTTTTTTGGTGTTTTTTTTTTTGTTTGTTTTGTTTTGTTTTTCCCAGAACCGGGGATTGAACTCAGACCCTTGCACTTGCCAGGGAAGCGCTTACTGAGCCATCTCTCCAGCCCCTCCTGCTTTAGATTGCCGGTGTGGGTATTGCATCCTGTGGATGGGAAAGTAACTAACACACCCCTCCCCCCACACTCCTTCTTCCCCCTATTTCCAAGAGTCGACCTTACACAAGGACTGGGGTTCGATGCCCAGTGTGCTGTGCCACCCTCCGGGGCGCACTGAGGTAGTAAATGGGACTGGGCATGGCGGCATACGCCTATAATCCCAGCGCTTGGAAGGCTGAAAACAGGTGACTTTATACTCACCCTGTATGGAGTCAAACCCCTGTACTAAAATACATTAAAAAAAAAAAAAAGAGCCAACCTTCTAGTGAGTTTTCTATCGTCTCTCCTTTATTTTACTCATTATTTATATTTGAAGCTTCTCCTGTAAGAGGAAATCGTGTGATATTTGATATTTGACTCGACTTTTCTAATAAGGCTTTTTTTTTTTTTTTGCGATACCAGGGATTGAATTCAGGACCTTGCTCTTGCCAGGCAAGTGGTTATTCTACTGAGCCATCTCCCCAACCCTAATATGCTTTTGAGACATGGTTTCACTCTGCAGTCCAAACTGGCCGGGAACTCACCGTATAGCCTAGCCTCAGGCTCACCATCCTCCTGTCTCAGCCTCTGGAGTTCAGGAATTATAGGCATGTACCTCCAGGCCCAGCTGCTATTTAACTTTTCGAGTCTGGCTTATTTAGTTTTTTTGTGGGTTTTTTTTTTTTTTTTTTTTTTTGCAGAACTGAGGATTGAACTCAGGCCCTTGTGCTTGCCAGGGAAGCACTTACTCCACTGAGTCATCTCCCCAGCCCCTAAATTTAGCTTGATGGTCTCAAGTTCCACCCCTTTTCTTGCAACCAATATGATTTCATTCTTTATGGCTGAGTAATATTCTGTTGTGTGTCTACACTATATATATATATATATATATATATATATATATATATATATATATATTCCCTCATTCATCTTTGGATGGGCATCTAGGCCATTTCCAGAGTCAGCTTATTGTAAATTCTCCACTATAAACACAGGTATGTATGTATCATTATTAAGGACATTTTTGACTGCCACATACTGAGGCCTATGTGGCTAAAAATCCTACAGTGTTCAAAATCCCCCATCCTCTACCCACACCGTGCAGTTGGCCCAGGAATGGAGTGCGGATAAGGCTGCATGTGAGATCCCTGCTAGCTGTGCGGCTCAGGACCCCTCTGGGCCTCATTCTCTTTAGGGCTTGGCAGATGGGGGAACCACCTTGGGTCACCAGACAGCTCCTGCCCCCTGCCCGCTCCCTGCCTCCTTCCTTGGCACCCGCCTTTCCTGGTGGTCAGGTTCAGGGAGAGGGGCTAGGCTCGGACCAGTGCAAAGACTTGTGCTTGCTGGGCAGGCACTGTGCCTCTGAGCCACACCCCGGCCCCGTGCACTGCCTCTCCTCCCACTGCTCCTCCCCAGGCCCTGCTCACCTGCCTTCTGATCCCAGAGCACTTCCCACCATTCCCAGGAGCAGCCACACTCTCCTAACTGTGAGCAAACACCCCTTCCCTCCGTCCTGCTGTCTGGAAGCCTTTCGGCCTGCTTCTCCTTGCAAAGCCCCCTCACCCTGCATAGAGACAAACCCCTGCCGCCTCCCCCAGGAGCCCCCCCCCCCCCCCCGACTTCCTCAGAAAATCAGGCCCATTTGCCGCTGGGCATTGTTCCCACCTGGCCCTGGGATGGCAGAGGCCCGTGCGTGTCTGGTTCTCCTCTCTGGCCTGGCCTGCCTTGTCCTGGCTCAGAGCAGGACGCAGATGTCGGCTAGGGCAGCGGAGTGACCTGAGTGAGGCAGAATGCCCGAGTCCGGGGTCCTCACGGCCTCTCCGTCCAGCCTGCATTGCTGCTAGGCTCTCCTGTGAGGGGGAGCTGGGCTTCAGGCAGATCCTGGCACAGTGCCCTGTGGCCCTGTCTTGGGCGTTCCTGCCCATCCTCCAGCCTGCGTGGCCAGAGTGGCCTCCACAGACACAGAGCCCACCCCGTGGCACTCACTCCAGCCAGGCTCTGGGCCCCTGCAGGACCTTGGGCCCCTCACACTGTCCCATCTCTCATGAAGGGATCGCGGGGAGCTTAGCTCTGGGCAGGGGCTCTGGACCCCTCGTTTCCCACAGGCCCAAGTCACACCCTGGCACTTGGGGCCGTCCCTCCCCTGAGCCAGGGAGTGTCCCCTCCAGGCACCCTGCCCCACCTTTCGCAGCTGCTGTCTCACCGCTTCTCCCTTTCAGGGAGCTGGAGGGGACTGCAGCACTTGAGCAAGTTTGCATCTGTGTTTATTACCACACATCTATGTTCCCTTAAATTACACAGTTCAAGTGGGCGAACATCTGTCTCCCTGGGAACGCTGCCAGAAAGGAGGCACAGCTCCTCCTCCTGCCCCCGGGCCCCATCCTGTTGGTCCTGCAGCAGAAGGACTCCCGTCAGTCAGTCATCCACCTCTCGCTTAGCTTCTGAACACATACAGTGTACAGGCCACTCCTTTGGGTTCATTAGGCCCTCCTCCTCCCACTCTCACCTCCCTTTGTCCCCCTTCTCTCTCTCCCTCCCTCAACCCCACCACCCCTTCATACAGTGAACACGCTCAGGGCCACATCCACCTTGGCCCTCTGGTGTCAGCCTTGAATACCTACTGTGCACAGGAGCGTGGCTTCCAAGAGTCACCGGCAGAAGGCTCAGCCCCGACCTCCAAGAAACCTAGATGGAAATGCTTGCAAAGCACAGGCAGCTTCTGGAGAAGTGACTGCAATGAGTGACAAGTGAGAGGGTCAGAGGCCAAGAGCCCCACCTGCAGGCGGAGTGGCGGAGCAAGCCAGCAGGATGAACAGGCCGGAGTGCAGAGCAGGGACATGTCTGCCGGTCAGAAGGCACCCAGGCTGTTAAGAGGTTTGGCTGTGAGTGAGGTTGTTTGTGGAAGAGCAAGGGGTAGAAAATACAAAAAAGAAGGATCCTTCTGGGAGGGGCTGGAGAAGTCAGACTGAGACTGTGGGGGTGTCCTCCGGCCAGGGCACCCACGATTTCCAGACATCTAAAAGGGAGCTTCTGCCAATTACCTTTCCCGTGGTTACAACTCAGAGGCATTTATACTGGCAGAAACACGGTTTGCCTTCTTTAAACGACTCCAGTACAATTAGAGGACTTCATGATCTCTCTGCAGTGAGGACAATTGGTTTATTCATCTTGTGTCACCGGCAGCCCTAGGCAGGTGCCCAACGTGGACTCTATCCTGGGAGGGAGGGGAAGGGGAAGCGGTTCAAAACCAAGTTCACAGCTAAATGCTCTGTAACAGTGAGCACAAGGCAATTACATTCCGCTGCAGTTATTAAATTTGGGGAAAACAAATATAATAAAACACAGACATTTGTAGGGCAGTTAAGATAAAACAGAAGTGGGAATAAAAATAAAATTTGATGACCACAGATTTCATGGTGTCTACATAAATTGGATAACAGTATTGAGAAAGCTTGACACTGGTGGGCTGGGGGCTCTGAAGAGACCGAGGGACGAAGGAATTCCGTTTTTTCCAAAGCACCACCACTTCCTTGTGCAGCCAGCGGGTCCCCAAGCCTCAGAAACACATGGTGGTGTTGGGAGTGGGGTGGCAAAAGTGGTGAGGGGCTTAAGCCTTGGCTTAGGAACAGAGATTCCTGGGCCAACAAAGAAACCATTTGCTGTACAGTACAGAGCCCACTGTCCGGGCAAAGCCCTGCCCAAGCGCTGCCCAACAGATGCCAGCTATTGAAGGTGGTAACTTGGTTTTACTACACACAATTTCACGAAGGAATGAGAAGTCGCCATTGCCAAGGTGCCCCTGAGTGGACAGAGTGGGAGGGCCCTGTTGGTCACATAAGGTCTCCATTAAAATGGAGAAAAAGCTAGGTATGGTGTCCCACGTCTGTGATCCCAGCCCTAGAGAGGTTGAGGCAGGAGGATCGCTGTGAGTTTGAGGCCAGCCTGGGTTAGGTAGACAGACCCTGTCTCAGAAAATCAATCAAAATTTGAGGGGGTGAGGCCGGCCAGGTAGCTCAGCAGACTAAAGCGCCTGCTTAGGCAGTCCCAGAGACTAGGGTTCATCCAGGCCTGCCGTGCTGCCCCCACCTCCCCCCAGCACTCTGAGACAGGGACAGAGCCTGGGCATGGTGGGGCATGCCTGTAATCAATCCCAGCTCTTGGGAGGCTGAATACAAGCCCATTACTATGAGTCCGATCTGTGTAGTGAGACCCTGTAGACTGTATACTAAATTAAAAAAAAAAAAAAAAATGTGAGGGGCCTCTAGCAAGAGGTGCCTAAGGTTTGTAGGAGAGACCTTTTCATTAATGATCTGTGTAGATCCCAAACACAAGTCTAGTGAATTAAAAAAAAAAAAAAAACAAGCTGAATGGGGCCAGGGAGATGGCTCAGTGGAATAAGAGCCTCCCGGGCAAGGGCAAGGCCATGAGTTCAATCCCCGGTTCCACCAAACAAAATAAAACAAAAAAATCATAAAACCGAGCTGAAGCGTTGGAGGAAGAAGGCAAACGGTGAGTGAGGGAGCGGCGTTCCGAAGAGGGAACAGCTAATAGGGCTGGGGAGAAAAGGAGAAGACAAAATGGGAAGGTCCGCAGCTCAGCCCACGCTTTACTTCGAAGAGGTGCATTACCAATTTGGACCAGAAGGGGCAGAACTACTGAAATTGGAAGGGTGAACGCATGTAGGCTTCTTGACCCTTTGCAGACGCTGTAGCTAGTTTCCCCCTTTGGGCGGGTTTAACCGCCCGGAAACGGAAGTTCCGTCCTTTTACGTTGTCTTCGGTTCTCGCTGGTACCTGTGTTTCTCCGGCGGTACGCGGGCAGTGGGGATAATCCGCGGCAATCCGCAGTTGGGTGCGGTCTGGGGGCCTGGGGTTTGCGTCGAGGGTTCAGAGGAGAAAGAGAGAGTGCCGGGGCCGGCTTTTCGGGAGAGGAGGGAAGGCAGGGATCGCGGGCAGCGCTCTGTTAACTCCGGGACTGTTCTCCGCAGGTACCGGTCCGCGACGTCCGAGCGCCTCGTCGCCATGGTGAGTAGCGCCCCTCCTGGTCCCCTCCCGGGGGAGGCGCGGGCCCGGAGTGCGAGTGGGGGGTCTTTTCCAGGGGTCCGTGGGGGCTGAAGCGTGTGGGGGGACTTCGTGTCACCAGAAAGCGTGAGTCTCTAGAGGATGTTCTTTGTTCTCGTCTTCCAGCCTCGGAAAATTGAGGAAATCAAGGATTTTCTGCTCACAGCGAGGCGGAAGGATGCCAAGTGTAAGTGGCTGCTGCAAAGCCCGAGCCGAGTCTGTGATCGCGTCGGTGCGCGCAGGACTCCCGGGGCCGCTCGGGCGTCCTGCGCGGCGTCTCGGGGCGCGAGGCCGCGTGAGCACGTGCCCGGCTGTCACGCTCCCCCGGGGAAAGCCTGCTGGGCAAATGCGGAGGGACTGAAGGTGCTCCTGGGGCAACTCCTTCGTGTAGTTCAGGGGTTCGTGTGCAGTGGCTTCTCTTGAGCGTAAACCCTGTTGCACGAGTCACGCGCTGAGCGCAGTGTGATCCGGACATCGGGTGAGCCGAGGACAGTACTGATCGCAGTGAGATTTTTTACCAAGCAGTTGGGCATCAGCTTGTGTTAGTTTTCCGGTTTGCAAATGAAGGGGAAAGGAAATAAAGATCCAAAACTGTAACAGCAGAATTTTTTACTTTTATGTTAACTAATAATGCTCGTGTTTTGGTTTTTTTTTTTTTTAACACTGAACCTTGGAAGAAGCTGTGTTCTTTTGTCTGTGTGAAACGTTATGTTACTGCTTTGACCCAGAGTCATCATTTTTCTACTAAATGAGAGCCCGTTGGCTTTTCTGTTACATCACAGATACATCTTACAAGGACCTAACTGAGTTATGGGACTAGTAGGCTTGGGCTGGCCTGTTACCTTCTATCGCTAACCCAGGGATAGTGGGCAGGGAGAATCTTTGAGTGATAGGTTGGGGCTGGGGCATGATTTTGCCCCTAGTACTGAAAATACCCCATTGTCTTGGGTCTTCTGGGAAGCCTTCCTGCTCCATAGCTGTGGGGACTGCAGCTGGAACACTTGTTTCACACACACAAGCAGTTAGCAGGTCGGAGTTAGATCTGCCGTTGTTTGACACAGCCTGCTCTGTCCCAGCTCTGCCCTCCTGGCTGATGGCTGTTGTCAGTAAGGTGGGCTAGATAAATCCTTTCCTTCCACTTAGGGTGATGTTGATAAGACTGTCTTTTGAGTTTCTATCAGGAGATTGGTGCAAAGATCAAATCCTATATTCCATTAAATGTCTTTAACAGTCCTGAGAAATAATACAAAATCGGTCAGATTCGTAGCTCATAAAGGTGGGGTCATGGTATCCTGAGCGTAAGACGTTCACTAGGTATCTGTTAAGTATGCTTTATTTCTTATTTGCAGTCTGGAAATGGGATCTTGCTGTGCTGTCTGGGCTAGCCTTAGATGCTCACTCAGTCCTATCCCATCTTCTGAGTAACTGGGATTGCAGGCAGGCACAACCGTGTCCTGCTTCTTAAAAAAAAACCAACGAACTTGATACAATACATAGTTTACATTCTGAGCCATTTTTTTCATGTACTGGCTTTGGGACATTAACACCATCTAGCCCCCGACTCCAGAATTCTGAAGCTGCAGCTCTGTCCATTAGACACTAAAGTCCCCACCCCTTAGCACCCACCTTTCTGTTTCCAGATTTGATGGATCTTCGTGTAAGTGGAATCACTTGAGGTTTTGGCTGGCAGGTTTTATTTATCATGCTGTCCTCAGAGTTCATCTGTGTTGTATTTTCTAGTTTAGTTTTTAAGGCTCAGCAGTCCACTGAATGGTAACAGTGTGTTGTGTTTTATTTATTATCGATGGATTGTTTCTACTCTTACAGTGCTGCTGTGAACTGGGGTGGTTTGTTGCTGTTTGTGTTCTGTGGTGCTGTAAATTGAACCCAGGGCCTCTTACTTGCTAGGCCAGTGCTGTACCGCTGAACCCCGCTCCCAGCCCACTGTGCAAATACTTGTTCTGTTGTTCATTTGCATTCTTTGGGGTCTATACCCAGACATGAAACTGCTGTGTGCTATGATACGGTAATGGTGCATAAACACTGAGATCTGTATGTCTTTAGAAATGTGTTCATCTCAGTTCATCTTAGTTTGTGTTCATCTTAGTTTTCGATGGTACAGTAGCTGTCAGGGACAGTGCAGTGTAGTTAATGATGGGATCCTACAGTCAATTAGCTTTCATGAATACATGAGGTGTCTGGGTGTACTAAAAATATAGACAGGTACCTGAGGCCTTGGGCAGGCTGCGAGCCCTGCAGTGCTGCTGCTTCTTGTGAGGTGTCCTGCGCTTTTCAGCACTTATTGGCGGACATGGAGTCATGAGGCACAAGTACACATTAATCTTGCGTTGCTGTTAGGTGCTCTGTGCTTGGGTGGATGGGTGGCTGGCTGGGTACTTGGGGTGAAGCACTAAACACTTCACAGCATTTGTAACAGTTGTTGAAAGTGTCTGAGTTGGGCCAGGGAGATGGCTCAGTAGAATAAGCGCTTGCCTGGCAAGTGCGAGGGCCTGAGTTCAATCCCTGGTTCCGCAAAAAAAAAAAAAAAAAAAAGTGTCTGAGTTGGAATGAGAGGTTAGACTAGTAAATGTGATGGCTAGCTTACTCCCAGGAAGGCCAAGTTCTACACTGTGGAATTTGAAGTGCACTTGGGCTTCTTGTCTGAGCTGTGATCCCAGATAGATTTTAGGAGCAATACCCCCCCCCCCCCCCCCCCGCAAAGAGCTTTCATCTAAGTTTGAGGAGAGGCTCCATACATGCTGTGACTGATGAGTGAGGTGGGTGGATATCCTGAAGGGGGAGCTCTGTGTTACTCCCCAGGCGTTGTGCTCTATGCAGAGAGTTGATTTTGAGGATCAAAGCTCTGGAGAGGGCCGGGGAGATGGCTCAGTAGAATAAGCACTTGCCTGGCAAGCACAGGGTCCTGAGTTCAATCCCCAGTACCGGAAAAAAAAAATTTAAAAAAGCTCTGGAGAGTTCTTAATCCTAGAAGACAGATGGATGACTGAGTCTTCTTCATGCTCTCCTTCCTCCTGTCCCTTTAAAGATGTAGCATAATTAAGTCAGTGCAGAATGTTGCACAGTGCTATAGTCACCATAACGTTTTACGTGTAACCTAGTTAAAATTGCTCACACCCCAGACCCTTGGGTTGATGGAGGGAAATGTGGGTTGCTGGCACCAGTTTTCATGTTGGAGGGGACAGTACAGGGAGGTGGGAGGGAGCTTCACTTTTTTTTTTTTTTTTTGCAGCCACTGAATGCCTTCAGGGCAGGTCTTATATGGTGTGAGTGTCTGGGGATCGATTGAACCACAGCATCCTGAGCCTGACTGCTTTGTTTAAGCAGGCACTTAAACAATGGCACTAATGGGCAAGCCCCCCCCCCCCCCGAGTGGTTGTTGGCTGGCCAGTTGGAGTCACTCACATGCCACTGCGTGTGTGTAAAGCTTGTGACCTGTGGCATTTGCCTTCTGTGATGACAATTGTTACTTCTGTTCTCTTTGGCAGCTGTCAAGATAAAGAAGAACAAAGACAATGTGAAGTTTAAAGTTCGATGCAGCAGATATCTTTATACCTTGGTCATCACTGACAAAGAAAAGGCAGAGAAGCTGAAGCAGTCGTTGCCCCCGGGTTAGTGAGCCCTTTACTCTGGAAACACTTCGTATTATAACCAACACCTCTTGTGAGCTGTCCTTAGCTTACAGGACAGAATCGGCACAGCCAGTATAACGCCAATAAAATGACTTACTGTCGCTTCTCTTTCTCCAGGCTTGGCAGTAAAGGAGCTGAAATGAACCAGCCAGACTGATGTGAAGTATATTAAAAAACTTCAAAACTCTGTGAAGTGTCCTCTTTTTTTAAAAAGATGGGAAGAAAGTGCTATTTAGTAGTGGGGTTGGGGTGAGTTCAGTTCTTCCTCCAGTCATGAGTATGGGCTGGGATTTTAACACAGGTAACACCATTGAAAATAATTAGATGTGGGTAGGTCGCACTGGGAGTAAGAAGACCAAGATTTATGGGCCAGCTTAGTAGCAGGAGCTGCCTTCTAGTGAGGGAGGGTGCTGGGCACTCCTGGTAAGTAACCACAGGGAAGCCTTTCCATCTTTAGGATCCAGTGGTGGTGGCCTGCGGCTTGAGTGTACCCTATTGAAATATGCCTTAGATGCAGATGTGGAATGTTTCAAGGCTGGCACTTGTACGGCAAAGGGTTCCAGAGAGCCTTAGCGAACAGAAGCAGTGTGCTAGCCTAGCATGGGTTTGGGGACAGCCAGTTCAAGGAAAAGGGAATATTGAAGGGGAAAGGAAAGTGGAACAAGACCCTGGATAAAGAGCAGAACCAGTCTCAAATCCAGTTGACATTTCATCAGCGAACCCTGTTTCTCAAAAGATCTGAGTCCTTATTCTTGGACCAAAAGCCAATACTTTTTCAGAAGTGGGGGTGGCCCTTTTTTTTTATTTTTTTGGCAGAACCAGGGATTGAACTCAGGCCCTTACGCTTGCCAGGGAAGCACTCATTCCACTGAGCCATCTCCCTGGCCTGGGGGGTAGCAATTCTAACAAGTCCATAGCTAAATCCAACATGGGTATAGAAAGGCCAGCCAGGCCTGACTACTTGGGTATTAGATCCCTCGTGCTGCCACAGTACTACTTGGTACTGTGTGGGTTTTAAAATTTAATCTCTTTTTCCATCAGTATAGAAAATAGCCATATTAATGCCTGTCATTGCTTCCTGAATTAAATGTGCTAGTGGGGAAGTATTGAACTGACTGGACAGGTGTGGCTGTCTATGGGTTATGTTGGAACAAGCCACCAGGTGGCGACATATTGCAGCAAATAGTTGCCAGTGAATACTTAGAAATGGCCTACACCAAAATCCATTTTAAGTGTAAGCACTAGGGTAGATTTATTTACATCTTTGCTTTTCAAAAAAAAAAGAATGGTTCTATGTTATGCGGCTAGTATTTCTTTAAAGACTGCAGGGGCCAGGGAGATGGCTCAGTGGAATAAGCCCTTGTTGGCAAGTGCAAAGGTCTGAGTTGCAAGCCCCAGTTCCACCAAAAAAAAAAAACTGCAAAGTAGTCAAGTGGGAGTTTATTAAAAGGCATGCCTTTTGTTTACTCCAGGAAAAGTGTGACACATGAACTACCCATTAGCTGGTGGCAGATACAGATATGGCATCTTTCGTAGCTTTCAGGTCTTCCTCTAAAGGAGAGTTTGTCTCTGGCACATTGTCCAGAGATTGGCCCCAGCACCTAGGAGAAGCTTTGTGGAGATTTCTGGGCAGGCCTGGTATGCTGCCCTGTCCATGCTGGCTTGTGCAGACTGGCTCCTGAGGCCAGTGCTAATGGCTTGAAGCCTGTGTCAGCTGTCCATTGGCATTCTCCAGGGTTCTGTGACCCTGCAGGTGCAGTTAGCACTGTCGGCTTTAGGTATTCCATGCTGCACCTGGGGCCATAAGAGCCCTTGAAGTTGGCTGCTTCAAGACTCCTGTGCAGGTCTGCACCAGTCCCAGCTCTGTAGCAGGTTCAAAGCCAGTCCAGAGGTGACACAAGACATGCTACCCCTTGGCCCATGGTGTCTTGTCCTCCCTCAGCTGAAGCACTGTAAGGGTCAGTTCTACTCTAGAGGGAAAACAAATCCTTGTAATTCAATTGGATACTGACTGGTGTTGGGAGGCTTCACGGTAAGGCTTGCCTTTAGCCTCAAGAGGCAGGCAGGAGGAAGGTGTCCATACTACACAGCCTCTGGCTCCAGGTGGGCTACATGAGCTGCCCTTGCCTGCCTCACCAGTCTTTAGGTGAACTTCACCCTTTTGGTGAAATTCTGACTCCTCACCCTAAACCACTTTGGTCTGGGTTCTCATCGTGCTGCCCACACCTGGCAACAGGACACCCAAAACCCCACCCTTGGTAGCCCCCTGTCATTCAACTCTGTTTTTGAGAAACTTCCTGGCCCTGACTCAAAGCTCTTTAAAGGCTTGTAATTAAGCGCTGCAGGCTGAAAAACGGACCCCATGTTTCCTACTAAGACTGCAGAGAAGCCTGCATGGGCTTTGGATATAGCTGAGCTGCACAGCCCCTGCCTGGCATGCAGGAGGGCCTGAGTTCTATTCCTGGTACCCAGAAACTCGTAGTATTCCCCAGAACAGAGTGCAGAGCTGTTGAAGCCCATATGTGTGAGGCAGTACTTAGGCTCCTGTGCCTCTCCGGCCCAGGAGGAGATGCCCCAGGAGGCCAGGCAGGATCCATCTCTTTGGGCCCAGCATCTCTGATGGAGCCAGTGGTATTCATTGTCCACCCTCTAGCAGCCACATGTTTCCAGGGTATCCAGTGCTCTAGCTGGACATCTAGAAGTCCCTGCAAATTTGCAGCCACTGCAAGATTTCCTCTCACCTGCCACCTCTTAACTCTTGCTATCACTATACCCCACTGGGCTGTCTGCCCAGTGCGGTCTTTTAACAAAGCCTGTCCCGTCACAAACCCTGTACCATCTCAGTACCCCACTCCCAAAGCCTTTACTGTCCCTCCATGTGCTTTCAGCCTGAACGCAGCTGAGCTGTCCTCTGCAGTCGCGAGTGAGGACAGAGGTCCAGGGGGTGCAGAGGTCCAAGGCTGAAGAGCTCTGCTGAGGGCGATTGCACCCCGCAGCCTTCTCACCCTGTTTGGCTTTCCTCCCAAAGCACCGTCTAACCCAGCATGCGCGGTGCGTTCACACGCATGGTGTCTTCCTTGCAAGAACCGAGGGCATCTCTTGGTTCGCAAACTCCAGGTCCCAACTCCAGGTGCTGTGCATGCGGCATCGTTAGCTGCCAGGCCAGCTGGGTTTAGAGCTGTCCTGTCTGAGTCCACATGGTTTACATAGCGACGCTCAAATGAAGGGCTGTGGCGGAATCTAGACAGAGTGACCGAGTGCACTACCCTGAACACGCCCTGGGAGCCACCAGTCGCCTCTCCGACCGTGATTGCTACCTGAATTCTTTTTTTTTTTTTTTTTCGGAACTGGGGGTTGAACTCAGGCCCTTTTGCTTGCTAGGCAAGCGCTTATTCTACTGAGCTGTCTTCCCGGCCCCTACCTGAATTCTTTATACCCTTGACTTCCTATGTCATTGGGAGAAGCCCGAGACTTAAATCGCTTCTTCCCGCTTCTTTCTGTCGTGGACCAGGACAGACCTGCGCCCAGAAAGGGGCTGCCGGCCTTTGGACCACAGGGCAGGTGCCCAAGGGCGCGTCAGGGAGTGGGGCGTGTCCTAGGGCATGGAGGGGCGGGTCCTGTGCCTCGGGGCGTGCCCTGGGCGCGGGGGGCGTGCCCTGGGCCGGCGCACTTCGCGGGCTCTACGGAGGCGGCGGCTGAGTCCGGCTGCGCTCGGTGAGCCATGTCGGCGGCGCGCGTGGACTATATTGCGCCCTGGTGGGTCGTGTGGCTGCACAGCGTCCCGCACTTCAGCCTGCGCCTGCAGCCAGTGGACAGCACCTTCAGCCCCCGCGACGAGAGTTATCAGGAGGTGAGCCGCGCGCCCCAGACCCAGGCCACCGCGTCCCGCACGCCCCTCTCAGACTCTCCGCGGCCCCTTCCTTCTCCACTTTTCCCTTCTTCCCGCGACTCCTAGCCCCGCGGCCCCTCCTGGGGACACATCGGGGTTCGGGCACACGGGGGCCCTTGGCGTGGTGCGGGCGCCGGGAAGGGCAGAAGGCGGAGGCGGGGACGCGGGCTGGCCGGGCGGGGGCGTTGGCGTCCGGGGGCGCCGCGGTGCGCCCCTTGGGGGTGCGGACGGGCTCCCGAAGTTTTCCCTCTTGCTGAATTCCAGCCCCGGGCGCTCTTTTCCCGGGTGGGCTGGCCTGGCCGAAGTTTAGACAGAAACGACTTGAGTCTCCCAAGGTGGGCTCGGGCTCCCAGCGCCCCTCCTCCTGGCCCCTTCCTGCGGGGTGGGAGCCGTTGCCAAGACCTGGGCCTGGGCCCCTGCTGGAAGGCTGCGGGGCTGGACAGGCGGCGTGGGTGACTTCCTCGGGAGCGCAGTGGACCCGCTGCCGCTTGTATTCCTGGGAAGGAAGGTGGTTTCAGATTCTGCTGCAACTCACACCAAGTCCTAAGTCCGCCTGCACGGATCCACCCCGTGCTGACAGCCAACCTCCTCTTTGTCCTCAGCTTAGGCCTGGGCGGCTCCATCCTGTGTCCCTCACCACGGGCCCCCGTACTTCTCAGCCTGGAAATTTGGGGGTCTTGGTTTCTTGTCTAGTCTCCCTCGCCCTTTCCCGGCCCAGCCGGCACTTTTCTCCAAGGTATCTGCATCCTGACGGCGCTGCTAGACCGAGCTGCAGTCTCCCAGCGCATCGCGGGTGTGGCTGAGCGCCCCCTCACCCCACCCCCAGCCGAGGCCGTTACCTACTTTGGAGGAAAGATTCAGGGGCTGGGAAGCCCAGGATGGGGCCCACTTTTTCAGAGTTGTCTACCTAACTTGGGACTTCGGCCCTGGCAGCCTCTGCCTACAGCGTCAAGGCTCTGACCTCTTGATTTCCCTGGCCGGGGCCATGGGGCCCAGCGGGACCTCCTGGAGGTGGAACCTGGAAGTCACCTGCTGGCCTCTTCCCTTTCCAGGGCTTCCTCCTTCAGGGCACAGGGATCAGGGGGCCTAAGCTGTACACTGCCCGCGTGCCAGTGCCAGTGGCCAGAGTCTAATAATAACCCCTAACACCATGGCTGCCTTCAGGCCCCGGCAGTTGGTGCCTGCTCTTCCGGGAAGAGGAATTGGACCTGCTCTCGGTGAGCCGTGAGCGTGTCCACCCTTCCCGCTCCCCGTCCCGCTGGAGGAAGGCAGTGTTCCTGGAGAATGGGCTGCCTGGGGATAGCTCCAGGGGATCTTCCTCTCCCAAAGAATGCTTGAAAAGAGGCGGATATGATTTCAGAAACAGCTGTGTTTTGGGGTGGATGCCCCAAACCCTCCCCCTGGGCCTCAACCATGTTTTCCTCTTTACTAGAGGAAATACAAACCCCCTACTGGGTGCTGAAGATCCCTAAGTCTGGGAGGGATGCTCAGGCCACTCCCTCACCCCTCAGGCAGGGAAAACAGCACCTGTCCTGCCAGCAGCTGTGGCTGAAGGGCTGTGAGCCTGCCCCACCCACTCCCAGTCCCTGGGACAGGTGGCAGCTGAGCCTGCCGACCCACTCACAACTCCTCCCCCACCCTCAGAGTCCTGGCCTTGACACCCTTTGTGCTGAGCTCCAGAGGGTGTCCCCTTCCTAAGCCCCTGCTCCTATGCTGCTGCCTCCCCCCACAAGTCCTGCTGGGGAGGCAGCTCCCCAAGTGGAGGGCAGGATGGAGATCTGGCTATGGGTGCTATTTAAGGCCACTCCTATCTTAGTAATTTATCCTGTTGTCTGACCACTGGTCTCCTTTCCTCCTGAACCCAAGTCATGGCTAGAATGGGGCAGCGGGTCAGCCCACAGCATAGATTGGGTACTTTCTGTGTCAGCTCATCACTCTGTCCCCAGACTGGATTGAGGCCAAATACCCAGCCAGGCCTGGGTGACTGTGATACTCAGGGCAGCAGGCCTTTGGGAGCAGTTGCTGCGGGTTCTCTGGGGCCAGTTCTTTGTGGCAGCAGCCAGGGAGCTGAGATGGTGGCTCTGCCATCTCCTAGCCAGGTTGGATTTGTGAGCAGACGTCTTAACCTCCCCAGAATTTGCTTCTTCCCTTTGCAAGTATTAAATGAGATATTACACATAACATGTCTAATATGGAGGGTCCCTCAGCACACAGTAGGACCCTGTGATAGAAGTCATTAGGTGATTAGCCTTGAGATCACTTGATGAGCACAGTACCCCCAAAGGGGAAGGGAGGCAAAAGAGCTACAGACCCTGATCAAGGAAGTCTGGGGGGCTTCAGTACAGCTCAAGGGCCCCAACCAAACATCGCAGCCAGTGCATGCTGCCTGCGCACGGAGGCCAGAGGGGTCTTTGAAGACCAGAGGAGCTAAGCAGCAGCTCACCTGGTAACTGTGAGCAAGTTTTCTATCCCAGGACCCCCCTGAGGAAGTCGGGGCCTCCCTCACTTTGGGGTCTCTGGGAGCAGAGGAAGCCTCCAGATCCTCCCATAGCTGAATCTTCTTCCTCTCCCTGCAGTGAAGGCACTAACTGGGCAGGCCAGGTGGGAGGCAGAGGGAAGGGACGCCAAGCCAGCATCTGGGGAAGGAGGTGGCCAGCCCTTCTGCCGCAGGCTGCTTGCCTTTGAAGGCGTGGAGCACTGGAGATGGTCCTGTGGGTGGTGCCTGGCTTCCCTGCTAGGGAAGGAGACCCCAGCCCGGCCAGGTGGCCTTTGGGCAGTGTGGGGGACAGCGGAGAGCACCTGGCAGGAAATCCAGCTGTGTCTCTGAACAGGCCATTCAGCTTCCTCTTTCCTGGAGCATTGGTGTCATAGTTCAGCCCAGCCACAGAGGGGAAAAGCAGACACTGGATGAGCTCAAGAGGCGTGTGTGTGTGACTGTCCCTGTCCGTCCTCTGTCTCTCCTTGCCTCAGTCAGGAGTCCCCTCATTCTCTGTGTTTAGGATATAGAAGATGTTTTCATTTCTGTGTTTCTCCAAGTGTTCTCCCGAGCCTCCTGAGTACCTTGGTTCTTAGATTCCCCCAAGAGACCAGTGTGTGTCCCCAGGCTAGAGGAGGAGCTGAGCATTAAGAGGCAGGTCTGAGGAGGGGAGGCCCCACAGACCGCAAGCCCAGGAGGCTGTGGCTGGGATGAGCAGCCCCATTCATCCTGTCTGGCACTGAGTCACCATCACCCGACAGTCATGCTGGGTCCCGCAGGGGAGCTAACCCTTCCCAGCTGGGCTAGAAGGGGTCTCCCCGTGGGTGCGCCTGCACCCCACTGCTGGCCTCACTGCAAGGTCAGCCACCCTCTCAGATTGTCTCCAGGGGACAGAAGTGAGGTGCAAAAGCCCGCCGGAGACCAGTACAGTGGGCAGAGCCACTCGCCACCCCACCCCCTGGCATTGCTGCCCACACTGGGTTTCTTGTTACAGAACGGCAAACCAGAAATAATTGAAGGGGCACCGACGAGGGAAGGGCAGAGCCTGAACACTGATGTGGGTTCAGGGAGGTGTTGATGACCTCGGGGCACAGCAGAGGCTGTGGTGTGGGAAGCTGTGCTCTCTAAGTTCTGGACAGCGGGCAGTTGGGCTTCCTCCCACACACCCCTCCCTGTCCCCAAGGTTGCTATGCACATGGGGTCCTGGGTGTTCCTTAGGAGCACAAAAGTGATTGCCCATTGGAGAGCAGCAGGTGATACCCAGTTGGTGGGTGGCTTGGGCTCCCCTCCTCCCTCTCCCTGCCTCCCTTCTCTCCTATTCTGATTGCTTGCTGCCTGCTCTCTGCCTGGCCCACCCCGGGACACCCCCAGTTTCCTGCTGCAGCTCTCGTCCTCGGTGATGGAGGTCAGGGTTCCTCGGATGAGCAGCCTACAGAGGGCCTGGGAGTTGGGGTTTCCTGGGCATCCCTGTGCCGCATGCATTACCCGTGACCTACTTGAGACCGGCTGCCCAGCCTTGTAGGGGCCCCAGCCTGGAAAGGCCCCAAGCCGCAGAGTCCCAGGCTGCTGGGGAGGACGTGGCTCGCAGGAAGTCAGGAGGCTGCTGGAATCTAAAGGGGGTGGGCCTGGGGAAACTGATTTGGCCCCAACCCACTTCGCTCCACCACTTACGGGAGAGCTTTCCTTCTGGGCGGGAACATGGGGCAGATACCTGGTGTTTCCTGCTTTGGGGAAAGATCAATGGGATAAGTAAAGTTACCGACCTGGGGGCTGTGTGGGTGTTAGCTGGGCTGCATGAGAGGCCCCCCTGGGGGTTCATTGCTTTCTATAAATTGTTAGGAATAACTTCCACAAACTTGCACAAGCTTATGTGTGCATCCCAGTGAATTTGTTAATTTATTTTGTGTGTGTGTGTGTGTGTGTGTGTGTGTGTGTGTGTGTGTATGGCCAGCTCAGCCCACCAGGGGGCGGGGCTGGCTGGCATGTGGTGCTGGGGGATTGAACCGTGGTCCTTGTGCTTTGCTAAGCTTAGCTTGTTCTAAGTAGGTGCTTTAGACCACTGAGCCATCTCACCAGCCCCTCAAGTGAATTTGTAAGTGGTGTATGAAGCACCATTCCATCCAGGTGTCCACAAGGTAGCTACTGCTGCAGTAGAACTTCTCTGGTTGTATACTTCTTATGAATTAAATATACAGTCTTGATTTGCTCCCTTCAGCACTCCTCGGGGAGATTCATCTACCTTATGTGGAAGAGTTTTTTCATGGCTGCATAGTATTCCATTCAGTGGCTATAAACATAGCATGTATGTTGTCAGTGAACCTCTGAAGAGTATTTTGTAGTTGCTGCTGTGGGCTCTCATGTGTGGATCTTGTTGGAGACACAAGCTCTCCATTCGATGGAGATGTGGGGTCACAGGGTATGTGTTGCTCAGTGGTCTGCAGATTACTAAAGGGTCCCTGCAGGGCCGGAGAGATAGCTCAGTAGAATAAGCACTTGCCTGGCAAGCACAAGGTCCTGAGTTCAATCCCCAGTACCACAAGAAAATAAATATATGAATAAATAAATAAGGGTCCCTGGATCTTAGTAGTGGGGGCCAGGACAGCATGGCATGTCCATCCACCAAGATTGTGGTCTGGGCCTGGCTGAGCAAATGAGCTTGAACAGAAAGTGAAACTGCTGGGGAAAGACTGAGAACGTGTATTGACAAGATTCTGGTGCTTCCCTGGCAAGAATAGGACCCGATCGCTTGGCGTCGCTGGGTCAGCTGGAGTCCTGGCGCTGGCCTCCAGACAGGACATGAGACTCCGCATGGCCAGGAAGCTCCCAGGAGCTCTCAGCGTCACAGTTAAAGGTCAGGTTGCAGCATGATCTTCACTTTGAGTGCGGTGGCCCTGCCACCCACCCACCCTGACCTCCTTCGCCTCGACCTGGATTCCAGAGCCCTGCAGTGAGACTGGAGGGGAGAGAATGGGCCGCAGCTTCCTGCTGCCTCCTGGGGTCGCTGCAAGGTGTTGGCCATGGTAGTGAGTGGTCCCGGAAGGCACAGTGCCAGTCCCGGCCCCATCGGAGCTGTTGCTGTCTTCCCAGCTGCCTGTAGTAGGGCCGTGAATCCCCAGCCGCGCCTGTGACATGTGTGTCCCAGGCGGAAGAGAAAGCTGCAATCTGTGTCAGACCCATGTGCCCTACCCGGGCTGTCCCCACCGCTTTCACCATATGTCCCTAAGCCCGAGGAGCTTATCCATCCAGGTGACCATCACACCATCAGAGCTCACCTCAGGGCCAGTGACTGCCTGAGTCTGCACAGGGCTGGGCAGCCGAGCAGGGCCTGGAAAGGGGCAGAGGGCTTCTGCAAGTGTCCCCCCGACTGTGCTCTGCCCCCTGGAAAATGGCCACGGGCCTTGGGAGGCGGTTACTGGCCTCTGTGTAGGTTGACTGTGTGTGTGCCCCGTACATGGCTTGTCCCCTGTCAGACCTGCTGGGCCTGCAGTCTCCCCACGCTGCTGCACGCCACCAGCATGCAGGGCCCCTGACACAAGCTCTGTGCACTGGGGTGCAGGGACTGAGGACAGGGAGACCCTTAGGGCCACAGGAAGCAGGGTAGGCTGTCTGCTTGAGAATCTGACTTAGAGCCGGGCGCAGCCCCGGCTCACAGCCACCCGTCCTGGGGCCATCTGGTGTCCATCTGGCCAAATCAAGAGATTGGAGGATGTGGCAGGCAGGTGGGGGGAGGGGACCCAGGCCTCCTGGCACATAGCCGCTGCCCTTGCAGGACCCGAGATGCCAGGTGGGTCTGAGAAGATACCGCCTGCCCCGTTGGCTCCCTGATCGGCTCTGTCTTGCAGGAGGTAGAGGAGGGAAGGGGTGCCGTGTGTTGCTCACCTTGACGTCCCCTACCTCCTTCCCAGCCCCCTCACCTCGCCAAAGGGAGCTGACTTCTCGTGACTCTGGATGGGCACCTAGATTGGGTGCATTAGACTTTGGCATCAAATGACAATGGCCCTGCCAACCGTCCCGCTTGGTACCTGAGGCGTGCTGTCCAAGCTGTGCCTCTTCCTAGAACCCCTTGGATGTCTCTGAACATCTTGCCTGTCTTCCTTGGCAGCAAATGAGATGTGACTGGAAAATACATTGATTGTTTACATTTTAAAAAGTTTATTACAGGACTGGGGAGATAGCTCAGCTGCCTGGCAAGCACAAGGATCTGGGTTCAATCCCCGGTACCACATGCTGTGCCGGCTCCACGCTGAGCCAGCCGCTGAGACCGGGTATGGTAGCACATGCCTATAATCCCAGCACTGAGGAGACTGAGACAGGAGGATCACTGTGAGTCGGAGTTGCATAGTAAGACTCTGTATCAAATAAATAAATAAATAAAAGATTAAAAATAAAATAAAAAAAGCTTGTTACGGTAAGAGACACATTGATGTTGGCCCTCCCTCAGAATCCTCCCCCTCTCTCTTTTTTTTTTTTTTTTTGTAGCTGGCTCAGCCCACCCTGGGGGTGGGGCTGGTGCAGCATGTGGTACCTGGGACCTCCCCCTCTCCTGGAACACACGTACCCCATTTTTTTTTTCTGTATTTATTTCTCTCTTGGTACTGGGAATTACTCATGGCCTCATGCTTGCCAGGCAGATGCTATGCTGCTGAGCTAAATCCCTTACCCTGTCCCATTGTTCTTAACACCTTCTGAAGCAGTTCTGGAAGCCCTCTTTCTTTTTTTTATTTTTAAAACTTTTTAAAAATTTATTTATTGGATACAGGGTCTCACTGCACAGTTCAGACTCATAGTGGTCCTCCTGCCTCAGCCTCCCCAGTGCTGGGTTCAGAAGTGTGCCCCACCACACCCAGTTTCAGGCCGGCACAGTGCACCGGGGCTTCCGGGACCAGCACCTGCATGGAATGTGATACCAGTGATCGAACCTGAGTCCTTGCGCCTGCCAGACACGTGCTTAGACCACTGAGCTGTCTCCCTGGTGCAAGCCATCTTTCTTGAGTGTCTTTGGTTACACTGTCCTGGCTGCCTTGATGTCCTGAGTCAGTTCAAAACATTGACCTTTTGTGGTCATTTTAGATTGGGGGAAGAGCCGGTTTTCAGGGTGCCAGGCCCAGGGAGTCGGTGGGTGAGAGCGCACCAAGATGTCTATAAGCTAAGCCTACCTGCTCCGTGGGTGGAGCATGGTCTTAGCACTCGCCGGACTTGTGACCACACCTGGTAAGACACTCAACCAGTGAGGACTTCCAGAGCTGCTTCAGGAAGTGGCCAGAAGAATGGAGTGAGCGTTTTGAGGGGCCTTAGTGGCCGTGTGACTTTTACTGTAATAATTGTTTTGGTTTTTTTTTTAATGTATCTAGTATGGGGTCTACAGGATCTACAGGGTCTCACTCCGTAGATTGGACTCATAGTGATTCCCCTGCTTTCAGCCTCCCTGGGATTACAGGCGTGCACCACCAAAACCTGCGCTGTCTCAATAGGTGTCTCAGTGTGCCCCAGTGGCGGGGCCGGCAGGGCACACCGGGGATCAAACCCCAACCACTGCGTTCTGCCTAAGCAGGCGCTTTAGTTCACTGAGCTGTCTGGCCTGTAGTAATTGTTTTTATTTATTATTTTTATTATTATTATTTTGTGGAACCGGGCATTGGACTCAGACCCTTATACTTGCCAGGGAAGGGGTTATTCTACTGAACCATCTCCCCGGCCCCAACTGTTTTTAAATGTAGTCATTCTCTGTGTATTTTGCTTACCCCTTGGAGCTGCCACTGCCTCCGTGCTGGTGGCTCAGCTCAGCTTTGCAGCAGACCACGTCTTCATCCCAGTGTGGAAGCCAGAAGCATGGGCTGGCCTTTCCCTCTCCTCCCAGCCCCTTGAGCCCTCCCAGACTCCCCGCTGCTGGGGGAGAGCTCACCCCGGCCTCTGTCTTGCAGTCGCTGCTGCTCCTGGGGCTGCTAGCCGCTGTCTGCCTGGTCCTGAACCTCGCCTTCCTCGCCACCTACCTGGTATGCGCCTGCTGCTGTCGGCGGGACCACACGGCGCAGACTAAGCAGCGCAGCTCCTGTTGTATCACCTGGACGGCTGCGGTGGCCGGGCTGGTCTGCTGGTGAGTGTCTCTCCACACAGCTGGGGATAGCCTTGGTGGAGACAGGGGCAGGGGGGTCACCTGCTGGGGCCTGCGCTGTCTGTATCCTGCCCGTGGTTAGCCCTTTCTGTACTCCCAGCAAGCTCCAGCTGCTGCTCAGCCGTGTGGCCATGTTCTTCCAACCAAGGTCCCACCATCTAGGTGAACAAGCTTGTCCCCAGGATGGTCTTCCTCTGCCCAAGCATTGGGATGCAGACCCTGGAGTGTGGGTGGAGGTCTCCCTATTGGCCCCTGCCTCTGCATTATGCAGGCCAATGGCTTGCAGCTACACAGGTTCCTCCTGGAGTTGCCCCAGCAGCACTTCTATGCAGTGCATTCTCTGCCCCTGTGTCCCTGTCCCCTCCCACCTGCCAGCCACCCTGGACCATTAAGGCCAGAAGAGAGCCTGGTGTGTACCCACCTCATTTCTATCCTCTTGGGAGATCAATAGCTTTTAGTGCCATTAGGTGGCTGCCCTTCTTTTTTTTTTTTTTTTTTTTGGTGGAACCGGGGATTGAACTCAGGCCCTTGCACTTGCCAGGGAAGCGCTTATTCCACTGAGCCATCTCCCCGGCCCAGCCCTTCTTTGCTTTAGGTAAGGAAGTGAGGATTTCTAACACCATGTCAGAGTTGCTACTGTCCTGCTACACTGGAAGTGTCCACACTTGCATTGTTGCTGTGTGTTTCTTGTTTTATATCTAGAGAGGCTTTCCCTCAGCCAAAGGTAGGGCTGGGAGTGTATAGTTCAGTGGTTGAGTGTTTGCTTAGCATGTGCAAGGCCCTAGGTTCAAGCTCTAACACTGAACAATGCAAAGTCTGGAGGACTGGGTGTGGTGGCACATGCCTGTAATCCCAGCACTGGGGAACGCTGAGGCAGGAGGATGGCTACAAGTTCAAGGCCAGCCTGGGCTACATAGTGAGTTCACAGCCAACCTGAACTGTGGAGTGAAACCCTGTTTCAAAAGAAGAAAGGGAAAGCAAAGCCTCAGGTTCCCCCTGAGATGCTCCTGGGGTGCAGCTCCACATGGGGGTGGGGTTCCCTCAATAATTAGCTTTAGAGCTGGTACCTGGGAACAAGGACTCTACATTCCAGTCTACAGATGGCTGCTTCTCTGTGAGGACATGCCCAGGATCGCATCTGCATGCAGCGTGGGGCTCAAGAAAGCCAGGAAAGAGGCAGGCCTTGGGTTGCTGAGCTCATGGCAGGTATTGGGCTGCTGCCAAGCAGACCGCTTGTGGGGCTGAAATATACCCCTAAGAGGTCTGGGCCAGGTTGGGAGCACAAAGACCACCTCCTCCAGAGAGTATGTGCGGAAGGCAGAGTGGGCAGGGAGTGGCAGGAGCTGGTGGGCCTGATATCAGCCCTGCCAGCTGCATGGGCATCCCTGGCTCTGTGCCGGGATCTCAGGAGAAAGAAGAAAAGAGCACCACAGTGATTGCAGAAGACAGTGTTGCTAGATGGCTAATGGACTGATGTCCCCATAAGGTGACTGTACATTGAAAAGGGCATAATATTGTCAGTAGGAATTTCATTTAATACGCCTTATGCACTGAGCAGCCTAGTTTAGCCCATCCTGTCCCCACCTCTTCTCATTTGGTCCTGCGGATAGAACAGGGCTTTCACACTGAGCTACGTCCCCAGCCCATTTGTTTGTTTATTGAGACAAGATCTTGCTTTGTGGTTCAGGCTGGTCTTGAACTCACTATGAATGCTAGGCTGGCCTCCAACTTTCAATGATCTTCCTGCCTCAGTCTCTTAAGTACTGGATATAAGGGTGCACCACTATGCCCAGCACCCATTTTTATTTTTTTATTTTAAAACAGGGTCTTACTAAGTTGTTGGGGCTGGGCTTAAACTTGTGATCTTCCTGTCTCAGCCTTCCAAAGTGTTGGCATTACAGGTGTGCCTTACTGTACTGACCTCCATTGTACCTCAAACAAGCTCAGAATGTTTCTGTCACCCTGCAGTTAAGCAAAATCATTGAACACAAAATATTTGATAATAAAGTGTTAGCTTTGTCTTGTTACTCCTTGAATGCCATGCTGAAAAGGAAAAACAAAACAGTTATTGCAAGTACACTTCCAGGACCAGTGAGACAGCTCATCAGACTAAAGCACCTGCTTAGGCAGGCTTAGGCAAGCTCAGGGACCACAGTTTGATCCCCAGCACCATGTGCCATGCCAGCCCCACCTTCCAGGGCAGGGCATAGTGGCTCACAGTGGCACATACCTGTAATCCCAGCGCTGGGGAGGCTGAAAGCAGGAGTATCACTATGAGTCCGACCTGTGTAATGAGACCCTGTGATAACGAAATACAGAAAACAAGTACACTTCCATATCTTCATTAAATTAAAGAATCATTATGTTGCACTATCAAATTTTAGGAACCATATGTATTTGGGAGCTTTAAAAATTACTTGGGAAGCCAGGCATGGTGGTGCATACCTATAATCTCAGCACTTGGAAGGCCAAAGCAGGAGGATTGCTGTGAGTTCAAGGCCAGCTTGGGCTGCATAGTGAGACCCTGTCTCAGAAAACAAAATAAAGAGAAGTGTAGGGAAAGGCCATCAATTCCAGTAAGTAATAATTATGTGTAGTCTATGCAGAACCCAAAGCAGAAGGGGTCTGTGTAGCTGGATTGTTCCAGAGCATTATAGACCCTTTTCCCAGGCAAGAGGGAGCCAGCAGTACAACATGACAGTTCTGCCCTGTAGATGTTGTTGTTCTAAGTCTCTTGGGAGAGAAAGACAATCATGACAAGCTGAGGGTGCTCTAAAGGAATGAAACAGGCATAAAATTAGACAACTCATTGGTCTGATTAGACATCTTGGGTGACAAGTATATCCAGATCCACAGAATGAATAGGCGCTAAATAGGCAGAGGTGGTGACAGAATAGGAGGAAATACCTCTAGGCAGCGATACAAGCAGCGGGTGCAAAGGCCCTGTGGCAGGAGGGAGTGTGGAGCAGAAAGCAGGTGAGAAGGCTGAGGTGCTGCTTAACGGACGACAAGCAAGAAGCAGCCGTGCTGGGCAGACTTCACCACGTGATCATGTGGAGAGACACGCAGGCAGGTGGGACCCCGCCCAGCAGGAGCCTCGAGGCTGTGGTAGGGATGTGGTCCTGAGGAGCAGTGGCTTGGCAGGAGATGGGGTAAGCAGATCAGTTGGTCTTGATCAGAAGCCGGGCCAGTGGAGTCTTCAGAGCGGTGGGGCTCACACAGGAAGGGGTACCAGTGGGACTCAGGAAGAGCTCAGACCCAAGGGGCACAGCGGGAGGCTCGTCAGCCATAGCAGGGGCCACTCTGGGCCACCAGCTGGAGGGACAGAATCAGCTGGCCTTGCTAGGACAAAATACTCAACATATGTAGCCTGGGCAGAAAGCTTGGTTTGGCTCACGGTTCTAGGGGATGTGGTTCATGGTCAGCCTGCTCAAGGCGGGAACAGCATAGTGGAAGGGCCTGGTGGAAGACGGCCCTCAGTTCATGGGGTCTGTGGAGCAGAGAGCAGGGGAAGGCCGGAGAGGGATGGCGGGACTGGGGACCACATAGGCTGTGCCACATTACATTCCCTGTGACCTCCTTCTTCCCGAGCTGCTCACAGCATGTTCAGCTTGGAGCTTATCAGTGGAACCCTTACGAGGTTGGCACCACTCACAGAGCCCACCTCTGACTACATGAACCTTAGGCCTTTGCACTAACTTAACATCCCTAGCTCTTCTCAACTTCTGATTTTGAGACAAGCTTTTGCTACATTGCCGAAGCTGGGCTTGAGTTTGTGATCTTCCTGCCTCACCCACCCAAAATACCGGGATTGTAGCTGGGCATGGGGGGACATTCTCAATTGAAACCATAGTACCACATAACTAGAGGCACCAGAACCCCTGTGGGCTGAAGCCACACAGCAGGCTTAGTAGCGGCTGTAAGGAGGACGGTGGTTGTGACCCACTCCAGCCAGTGCCTGGTCAGCCAGACCTGTCAGGACCTGGACTTCAGTGCAAGTGGTCAGCACCGAAGGGTGGGGAGCAGAGCAGGGAACTGGGAGGGACAAGATGGTAGGGCAAACAGGCCTGGGGCCAGCCCAGCGGAGTGGTTGCCAAAGTGGCCTCAGGGCAGCAGGTGGCTTTGAAGGGGTAAGCGTGAAGTGCAGGCTGTCGGGTATCAGGAGGTGGGCGATGGGCCACACTAGGCCCAGGCTGAGGACAAGACGACAGGGGCATGAGCTGGGTGAGCAGGTACGGGACAAGAAGCTGCTAGGGTAGTAGTCCCCAGGGTGCCATCCTGAGATGCAGGACACTGGGAGGGAACCTGAAGAGATTGTTTTGGGGTACACAGACTAAGTTGAAGGTGTCCTTGAAGCATCCAAGTGGCAACCTTGAGGACACTGTTGGAGACACCATGTTCAAGGGATGACTCGGAGGCCACAGGGTGGATAGTAGTGTGGCAGCGATGCACGCGGGTTGGGGCTGCTGCAGGAAGCGTGAAGTGAGGGACAGGAAGGGCCAGGACCAGGCATGGAGGCAGCAGAGGAGATGGAAAAGCGCAGGCTTGGGTCCGCGTGCTACCGGAGGGGGCATAAGTGGGCTGAGGGTGAAAATGCTGTCAGTTTAGAGGCACACGGGTCATTGATCACCTTAGGTGGCATGAGTTTTGGTAGAGGGAACAAGAGGAAGCAGGTGTCAAGGAGCAGAAGGGATAGGAGATAAAGCTGGAGGACTTGGGGTCGGAGGGGCATGTTTAACTGAGCTAGGGAAGATTCAGAAAAGAAGTGGAGTAAATCTGCAGACGGGTGAGCAGGAGGTTCCACGACAGGCAGGGGAGGCGTGGGCCTGCCTTCTTCTGCGGGGACAGTGCTTTTGCGTTTGGGGAACAGCATGATGCTGGCATGGGAGGGCCGGAGCCACCAAGTCATCTCACAAGCATCGTGGCCTTCAATGTGGACCAGACAGGACCGAGGACACCTAGAGCGATGGTGGGACCCTCCAGGGCTGTCTCTGGTCCTGGAAGGCCAAGCGCAAGTTCTGGCCACTTCCAGACTGTCTGGGATAAACCCACAACTAAAAGAGCAACAATTTAGAACGGGCCATTCTCAAGAGCAAGGGAATTGAGAGGATGGAAAAGAAGGAAAGAAGAAGGTCGGTTTGATGTTGAATCCTCAGAAAATACCTTACCTTGATTTAGGCAGCTAGAGGAGGAAAGTAAAGACAACAGCGTTTTTCTGTTTTTGTTTTTTTCCCAACACATAAGTCATTGGAGGGCTGCGGTATGGCTCAGTGACAGAGCTCTTGCTTAGCGTGTGCAAAGCCTGGGTTTGAATGCCAGCACTGCTCACGAAAGTCATCTTGCCTTGCTTTCTTTTAAATAAAAGTTAGCAGCTGGAGGCTGATGGAAATGCCAGGACAAACCATCCATCTAACGTGTGAACATTGCAGCAGGCGCCAGCCAGACAAGCTGCCTTGAGACCAAGGAGAGAGACAGGCAGCACGGCGGTGCGCGGCCACGTTGGCACACAGCTGGCTGAGTGGCACACGGAGAGTGCTGCTTGATGTAGTGGATCAAGGCCGCAGAGACAGACAGGCAGACTAGGAGGCTTCTTTTTGTTTTTATTTTTTTCAATGTATTTAGTTGTTACAGGGTCTTATTACACAGCTTGGACTAGTAGTGATTCTCTTGCTTTAGGCCTCCGCAGTGCTGGGATTATAGGTGTGCACCACCAGGGCCAGACTCTGTGGCCGGCTTAGTGTGCCTGGGGGTGGGGCTGGCACGGCATGTGGTACCAGGGATTGAACCGTGGTCCCTGAGCTTGCCTAAGCAGGCACTTTAGTCCACTGAGCTATCTCACCCTCCCCCCACAGAGGCTTCTTTTTAAATGTACAATTCCCAGACCACACGAGGCACCGCCCATCTAGCTACACTATCAAATATTCCTGATAATTCTCTGCATATAACTCATGGACCACGTCCTGACAAACACTGTGTTAGGAGTCCAGGGTTTCCTGGGAGATTTCTGCAAGCTTTCCAGGACATTCCATCTTGGGTCCTGCCCTGTTTAAAGAAAAAAAAAAGGGGGGATGGGGGGTAAGTACAGTCCTGAGTGCATTTATCTTTCCCTTTCTTCTGAATGAAGACTCTGGAGGCTCTTTAATCAATCTTCTGTGATCCCAAGTAGTGACAGAATATGATGGATGACAGAGGCAAGATGTGAGGGGATTTCTTCAGGCTGGAATGTTGGACTCGAACCAACAATATGAAATTTCACAGATCGGTTTCAAGTTCCGTGTTTGGTTAAAACCAGCAAAAATCAATATGGAATTATAGGAAGGAGGAGAGGTGGGGCTTGACAGTGATTCCTGGGAAGCTCATTGGGGGCTTATGGATGACAAGGTTGGTGGGGTCTGGGGACCGGGCACAAGCCGTGACAGTGAGTGGTGAGTAGATGGCACCCTTGAGCAAGTCCCCCATATTCTTTTTTTTTTTTTTTTTAGGCAGAACCAGGGATTGAACTCAGGCCCTTGTGCTTGCCAGGGAAGTGCTTATTCCACTCAGCCATCTCTCCAGCCCTCCCCCCATATTCTTTTGACTTCAGACCCTGGTGGAGAGTCTGGACTTGATTGTTTGCTCTGAGCTGCAGTCTGTGGTGACACTGAGCTAGGGCTGGTGCTAGTCTGTAATCCTGCTCTCTGGGAGGTTGAGATAGGGATGGAAAGTTTGAGCCTAGTCTGGGCACCTTGGTGACTTGGCGAGACTTTGTTTAAAGGACTCATAGAGCTCAGTGTGAAGCTGGGTTTAATTAAACCCTGGGTTTAACCCCCAGTGCCACCAATATATAGGAAATTAAATACATTTAAAATTAACTGTCTAATAATTGACTGAGTAAACAGCTGCCTCTGGAGGACAATGATGCATAGGTAATGGTTCGCAGACCCTAGACCCAGGAAGGACAAGTGTCTGACCAGAGAGCAGGTGGGAGGGTGCTGAGGGGACTGCATTCAGACGCATGGTGCGGGTGGCACAGAATTATGTTTATCCAGAGGTCAAGCCAGGACCTGGTGTCCCTGGGTTACAGGCTTCAGCTTGGTGTAAGGACGTCTCTGTCGTGTGCTGCAGCTTTGCCGTAGAGGACCAGAGGCCTTGGGGCTACATGAGGAGGTCAGACACGGTGAAGAATGGCAAGGGAGACCGCAGCACTGCGTGTGGTCTCACTCAGCCCCCCACCCCAGGGTCCCAGGTGCACTGGTGAGGAGGCTCCTGGGAGCTGTGACAGTACGGGCATCTTGTCTCCTCTCTAGCAGGACCCCCAGGGCTGGCTCCCTAGTCCTCGCCTTTTCAGTTATAGGAAATGAGGAGCCCGCCTGCCAGCACCAAGCAGCCTCCTGCTGTGTGACGTTGATAGCCCTTAACCTCTGTCTCTAGACTTCGTCCCCGGGAGAGTTCCCCAGCCAGAGTCAAAACCCTGCACTCTGAAATTGCTCACAACATCTCCTCTAAGAACTGCAAGGCCATTGTGGAAAGAACAGCCTAGCTAGCCATCCTGGTCACCAGTCCCAATGCCAAGTTGCGCAGTAAAGAAAACAAGTATACAGCCTGTGTGCCTGTTTATTTGTACTTCAGTAAAATCACAAAAAATGCGTAAAAAACCACAAAAAAACCCTGCACTCCAACAGCGTTTAGCAGTTTTATTCACAACTGACAACAATTGCATGATGGAATATTATTCAGCCCTAAAAACAAAGATAGGCTCTCATGTCAAGAAAGAAAGATGTGGAATATGCTTCAGTTTTTGTTTTGTTTTGTTTTTGTTTATTCGGCCTTTCAGGGTCTCACTATGTAATTTAGGCCAGCTTTGAACTTACTGTGTGTCACAGACTAGCCTTGAACCCCTGATCCCCGTGCCTCAAGCCTCCCAAATTCTGGGATTGTGGGCACGGACCACCACACCTGGCTTCAATGCCTATTACTGAGTTAAAGAAGCCAACTTAAAAAGGCCACACACTGTAAGATTTCAACTGCAGGATATTATGGAAAAAGCCAGGGCCGGGGAGATAGCTCAGTGGAATAAGCGCTTGCCTGGCAAGTGCAAGGGCCTAAATTCAATCCCCGGTTCCACAAAAAAAAAGAAAAAGCCAAACTATGGAGACAGTGAAAAGATTAGGATTGGAGGTGGGAGGAATATGCAAGGTACAGGGCACTCTTTCTCATATATATATATATATATATTTGGGGGTCTCCCCTATACAGCTTGGACTCATAGTGATCCTCCTGTTTCAGCCTCCCCAGCACTGGGATTACAGGTGTGTGCTACCATGCCCAGTTTCGGTGGCCAGCCTGGTGGGGTCAGCACAGCACGTGGTACCGGGGATCGAACCTGGGTCTTTGTGCTTGCCAGGCAGGCACTTAGAGCACAGAGCTATCTCCCCTGCCCAATTCAGGAGTTCTTAGGGCAGTGAAACCACTCTGTGTGGTTGCATGATGGTGGCTACACATCGTACTATGCTATGGGTCTGAACCCATACAAAATGCAACACCAGGAGTGAAGCTTCTGCAAACCGTGCACACCGAGTGGTGTATTTGGGCCCTCCCGGTGCAAGAGGTTCTGTGCATGGAGGGGGAGGTGTATGGAACGCTGTGTACTTAAAGCTTAGCTTACCTGTGAACTAAGCTGCTCTAAAAACAGCAGAAGGCAAACTCTCTCTAGATGTCACCTCTAACCTTGGTGTGGGTTCCTGCTTGCAGCGCTGCAGTGGGCGTTGGCTTCTATGGAAACAGCGAGACCAACGATGGTGTGTACCAGCTGGTCTACTCCCTGGACGATGCGAACCACACCTTCTCTGGGGTGGATGAACTGGTAAGGCTCATGGCAGCTGGCTGGGCATAGACGTAGCCTGTGAGGTCAGTGTGGCCAGAAAAGGGGGCTCCTGGTTCCACGGGCCCAGCTGCGCAGTGCAGGCCTGTGTGATTGAGGCTGCCAGCCTGAACTGCCTTCTGGGCTGCCTGTCCCTGCCTAGGGCAGTTCCTTCCTCCCAGGCCAGGAGGGGCTTGGGGGCAGCTGTAGGACCAAATCTCACAAGGCATAGAGCAGAAGCCTGTCCCATTTGCTGAGTTCTCCTCATACATAGAAACTCAGCCTGCTGCATGCGTGCTAGGCACATGCGCTACCACTGAGCCCCCAGCCCTTTTATCCTTTTCCATTTTGAGATGGGGTCTTGCTAAATTTCCCAAGATGGCCTTAAACTTGGGATCTTCCTGCCTCAGCTTCCCAAGCAGCTGGGATTACAGGTGTGCAGTACATGAAGGTCACTTTGCTGCCTAGGAAGGGCTGCTAGGGCTGAGGAGAAAACTTCTCTTCAGAAGCAAGGAGCGAGCCCTGTGGAATGGGAGAGTCCACCTTAAAGCTCAGCGTGTGCCCTCTGGGCCCTGGCTTCCAGTCCCTTAGAAGAGAGCTTGGTGCAAGATTGCTGTTCTGGCCAGAGGAGAAGTGAAGTGGGCTGAGGGGAGGGAGGGAGCTGCACTCCTGAGCCCCAAGCACAAGCAAGTGACAGACAGACAGACAGACACTTAGGACAGGAACTGGCGTTTCCTCTCCTTTGCCCTGGCCCCAGACCCCAGTCACTTTTGCAGTGAGAGCCAGGTCTTTCCTGTGCCGGCTTAATTGTGCGAAGCTTGGGCGATCCCTAAGCACTGGGCTCTGGTGGGAGCTTTGGATACTGGTCCATGGGCCCTGCTTTGTTCCCGACCTTTCTGCTGCAAACCCCAGCCCCAAATGGAGAACTCGCTTCCTGCCCCAGAGGGAGAGAGGACTTCTTCACCCCTCCCACAGGCACCCTTGAGCTCTCTGAGGCCCGATCCTTCACCCTGCCCCCCAGGGGGACAGCGTGCTACTCATTGTGCCCATGACAGTGTGTGTGTGGCGTAGGTGGCAGGACCACAGCCCCTCCTGGGGCTAAAGGCCTTAGTGTGCTTTCCATTGTGTTCACTGGGACCCATTTTGGGAAGATAGAACTGAAGCCCAGGTGTCTAGACTCTGCCTGGAGGGTGAGCTGCTGCAGTGAGGAGCCCAGGGACACGACCTGGTGCCCTCCCAGGAGGCATGGGCACTCCCTGGCCCCCTGGAATTCAGCCTCAGACTTCCCTCCTGTACCTGGGGCCCTGGCGGGAGGGGGCCTGCGGTCGAAGCACTCCAGCCTCAGTCTTTCTTCCTTGACCCCTGCTTTCCCTCTTCCCCCACATCAGCACCCAGTCCCTCCTCGCTGGAGAGCAGAATCGTGCCCCAGGCTGTGCCCTTCCCTGGCTGCACCACTGATGGGAAACCTTGAGTGTTTATCCTTATCTCAGGGGAGGAGAGTACAGCTGGGAACAAACCCCGGGCTGTCCCAGGGCCAGCTGTGGACACTAGTCCCTCGTGTCCCCAAAGGTTCTGTGTCCCTGAAAGTCAGCCCCTCGCAGTTCCCACTGCTACTGAGAAGTGACAACAGTTGTCCCAGCTCCCCAGGGTCATCTCTCCAGCTGGGAGCTGCTTCTGGAAGCAGCCTCCTCCCCCAGCCCCAAGGCACAGGGCCCCTCCCAGCATGGCCAGCAGCAGACCTGAGGTGATGCCCACGAGGGTGAGGTCCGAATATCAGATAAGCAGCAGGTAGGTGAGTTAGGACTGGTGCCGTGCTAGGTAAACTACAGAGTGCACCCCAGCTGGGGTGACTAAGATAATGAGCTCATTATAATCATTGCTGTAACCACAGTGCAGTGGAGGCTGGGTAGGGGAGGCTGTACGCAGCACAGTGGGGCGGCCGCTGGGATACTTGGGGCTGGGCCTTGCTGGAGCCCTATCAAGCAACCAAGAACAGCCAGCTGGCCTTCCCCTGCACTCTAGCTGAATCAGAGCCCGCACGAGAGGGAAGCCTGTGCTTCCCTGTACGATGGCCCCCAGCACAGGCTGGGGCAGCCTGACGGGTCTGGATTGGCTGCAGGCTCCAGTGCAGGTGTGGGTCACTTGGACCACTGGCTGGGGTCCTTCTATGGATCCAGTGTCTAGATCCACCCACCCAGAAGAGGGGACCTGGCTCCCAGCTCCTTGCCCAGGGCATGGAGCAAGTGACTTCTCCGCAGGGTTTAGTTAACTCTGAGGTAGCCCTGCAGGCTCTGCAACACCGTGAGCTCTGCTGACTTGTGTGTACACCTCAGCAAGTTTGTGGGCAGCCCCCAGTTGGAAACCGAGGCATGGGGAGGTTTAATGCCTCCCAGAGTACAAACCCAGGCCTCTGATCTTGGCCCTGCACTCTGCCCCCTACTGAATCAAAGACACACATATGCACACACAACCTGCTCTCTGCCCAGCTCCCAGGCGACCTCAGAGGCCTGGGTGCTTCCTCCCTCCCAGAGGTTTAAAACAGAGTCACCTGGACTCAGGCTCTACCCCTGCTGCATTTCCCATTCTGTAAATCTGAGGCCAGCCTGAGAGTTGGTGTGTGCATGACTCCCTGGTCGTGCAGGTGGCCCAGGGACTCCACCCTGAAGAGCGGGGCTGCATCCTTGAATCAGCAGTTTAGAGGGCTGGGAGAGGGCTGAACTGCCCCTGTGGTTCTTAGCACCTAGCTTCCCCGCACGAGAGCCAGGCTCGCCCTCTGTGGCCTGGCCCTTCTGCCTTCCTGGCAGGAACACCTGGGCACTGAAGCTTTGAGGCCCCGAGGGGAGTTGTGCAAAAGCAAAAGCTGTATGTAGGTCAGGGTCATGATTTTGATATTAAAAACTTCTTGGTTTTGTTTCCTGTGGGAAGATAGCGGGATGAAAGAGAGGCTCGACAGATGTTTATTTCTGTGTGTTTTATTTTCAATGAAGGGGTTTTAAGAAAGAGTGTAGTTAAGGCTGGCACTGTAACTCACTGATAATTTGTCTAGCAGGCCGGAGGCCCTGGGTTCCACCCCCAGCACTACAGGGAAAAAAATGGACAGTCATGGAAGGAAGAAAAAATGGTATTAGGACAAAAGTTTGCAGATCATTTTGTATCAGCCCTTGGTTCTTTTTTTTTTTTTTTTTAATTTTTTTAGGGAAGGTCTACAGGGTATTCAGGGTCTCACTACTAGATCGGACTTGTAGTGATCCACCTGTTTACAGCCTCCCAAGAGCTGGGATTATAGGCATGCACTACCACGCCCAGTCTTAATCGCTGTCTCAGTGCACCTTGGGGAGGTGGGACCAACACAGTAGGCCTGGGGATCGAACCCCCTGGCCCCTGCACCTGCTTGTAGGTGCTTTAATCCACTGAGCTATTTGGCCCACTCCCCTAGTTCTATATTTTTTTTTTTTGTTATTTGTTGTTGTTGTTGTTTTGTGTTTGTTTTTGGCAGAACCAGGCATTGAACTCAGGCCCTTGCGCTTGCCAGGCAAGCACTTATTCTGCTGAGCTATCTCCCCAGCCCCTATATTGTTGATGCAGTAAAGACTGTAAAAGTCCTGGGCTTACTCCTCATGTCACCATTTACTAATTGTGCCATTTGTTACAAGGCTATAAAGCCCTTGTGCATTTATCTTATTAAGTGGAACAGGAAGGCGTATTCGGGTAATGCTTCGTTACTGAATGGACTCTGAAACGGTTTGGAGTTTTTCTGCCTCTATCATGCTGCAAGCTGCCAAATCAAGAGCAGTATGTCTGTCTTGGTGTCTCCTATCCCTGCCCCAGCTCCTAAGAACCAGGCACAAGGCAGAAAACAACAGGCTGCTGGCATTGAGAAAATAAAACAAAATAGGACAAAGAGAGCCATTCTCTTTCTGGAACTAGGAAGTCACAGTGCAGGGCAGATGCAAAAAGCCCCAGGGTGATGTTGAGTCCCCGTGGAGCCGGAGCCCAGAGTTGGCCCCAGGGAGCTCTGTGCAGCTGGCCTCTTCCTCTGCCCTCCTCTGTGTCCTTTTTATCTTCCCAGCCTCAGAGCTGCAGGCTGCCAGGTGAGGATTAGCACACACTGTCCCCCTTCCAGCCTGTTGTGCTCCTGGGTTTAGCGTGACAGTTTCAGAACAACAAAGCCCTTCTTCCCCCGGCTGCCAGCACGCAAGCTCAGCAGGGGTGAGCCTGTGCTGCTGGACCGAGTCCTAGTAGCCAGGGCCTGGAGGGCCGGGTGGGCTCCTGGGCCTGGCTGTTTGAAGACACCTTTGCTAAGGGCCGGCCAGATAGCTCAGTGAACTAAAGCACCTGCTTAGGCAGACACAGGGTCCGGGGTTCGATCTCCAGCATGCTGTGCCAGCCCTGACCCCGGGACGCACTGAGATGGCAACTGAGACTGGATGTGGTGGTGCGAGCCTGTAATCCCAGCACTTGGGAGGCTGAAAACAGGAGGATCACTACAAGTCCAGTCTGCATAGTGAGACCCTGTAGACCGTGTACTAAATACACTAAAAAAAAAGAAAACACCTTTGCAGTATAGGCCCCACCTGCACCCCTTGTTTGGAAGCCGGTGAGGGCAGCTGCAGCCATCTTCCTTCCATTCCTATCTTGCACCGACACAGACAAATACTTCCACTCAATTCCATGTCCCTAAAGTCCAGTCAAAGGACAGGAGCCTAGCCACACAGCTGGAAGGACAAACGTCCAGGGGAGGACAGAAGACTCCTGACTCCCACAGAGGCAAGATCTGATCTCTCTTCATTTTGCAAAGTTGTTGTTCTGTTTCTCTGGGAGTCAGCCCTCAGCTGCTGGCAGATCTATTTTTATTTATTTATTTATTTATTTATTTATTTATTTATTTATTCATTTATGATGGAACCAGGGATTGAACTCAGACCCTTGCACTTGCCAGGGAAGCGCTTATTCCACTGAGCCATCTCCCCGGCCCCTGTTGGCAGCTCTACAACCAAACGCTTCTTTTGCAGGGCTGTAGAAATCCTGCGAGAACTATGGTCAAGGTAACAATATAGGTGTTCTTCAGTTTCTGTACTTTAGTTCTCTAAAGGAGAATTCCTTTCCAGTGTTTCAAGTTGTAACAGTCTTCAAGGAAGAAAAAAAGACTGTTTTATTTCCCTGTTTGGGTCTTTTTTGTGTGTGGTACCAGGGATGGAACTCAGGACCTTGTACTTGCTAGGTAAGCACTTATTCTATTGAGCTATCTCCCTAGTCCTCTGTTTGGGTCTTTAAACAGTTGTGTCCATTTATCTGAAATGCCCGGCACCAGAAGTGTTGGGATTGGAGAGTTTTTCAGGTTTTACCATATTGCATAGACTTTCCTGCTAGAGATTTAAGGGAGTTCAGATTTTGTATTTTCAGATCAGAGATGTTCAGACTATCCAGTAAGGCACTAGATCTCAAGACCAGGGATTGCTGTCTGTCTTGGAGGACATGCAGCGTGGGTGGGTGTGCTAATGTTCTATTGTTGTGATAAACACTAGAGAGAATTTGCTTAGACACAGAAAGTTTCTGTGTCTACTTGGTTTGGGAGATCGCAGCCTGTGGCTGGTTGGCCCGTCATTCTTGGGTCTATGGCCTATCAGAGCAGAGCTGTGCACCTCCTGGGTGGGAAACAGAAAAAGAGAAAGAGGAAGATCCGTCAGCCTCTCTCAGACATCCCCAGTGACCTGACGACCTCCCGTGGGTTCCACCTCTTTGAGTGTCCACCACCTCGCCTGTTGGACCTTCCTAACCTGGGAGCCAGGCCTTTCACAGAGGGGCCTTGGGGAGATATGGCAGGTCCAAATTGTGATGGTGAGTGACAGGGCCTGTCCCAGGCCCCTCTTGTGGTCCCTCACGAGCTCTCTGCAGGGCTAGGCTGTCCTGCTGAGTCCCTCCCAGCCCAGGCAGCTTGCAGAGACCTCTACAGTGGGAAACCCGAGCCCCACCTACCTGGCTTTCTCCTGGCAAGGCCCAGCGTCTCAGCCTCAGCCTCTCCCTAGGTGTTCGAGAATACCCAGAGGATGAAGATGGACCTGGAGCAGCACCTGGCCCGGCTCAGCGAGATCTTTGCTGTCCGGAGTGACTACATCCAGGTCCTGAAGTTCATACAGCAGATGGCTGACAGCGTCGCTGCCCAGCTGTCCAAGCTGCCTGTGTGGACGGAGGTCACAGTGCAGCTGACCGAGCTGTCGGAGCAGACCTCCTACGTGGAGTACTACAGGTGAGGGGGCTGTGAGGCCACACCAGGGCCACACAGGGGTGCCGCCCCACCTTCATGACCTTGAAGCTCCTTCCTCTAGGCTTTGGGAGTCCGCTTACATCTCACCTGCCAACCCAGCCCCAAAGAATTTACCTCCACGGCAAAGGCTCTTGGCCCGGGGCAGAGCCCTGTCTGGCTGCCCACCCTCTGGGACCGGGTCTAGGGCAGGTCACTGCAAAGAGCACCAAGCTTAGGCCATCTCCCAGCCAAGTGACAGCAGGACTCATGAAGTCTGTGTCGTTGTGCTTGCAGAGCTGGATGCTCAGCACAGAGGAGACCCAAGGGTCCAGATCCATGAGTCATAGAGAACAGCGTCAGTGTCTGGAATCCCACGCCCACATGCACTGGCTTCTCTCCAAGCCATTGATGAAAGTCAGAGCCTTTACCCCAACACTGTACAACATTCTCTGTTTCTCTGGATTTATTTCCTGTTTTGTCATCGAGCTGCACCCCGGGAGGTCCCTGCTGGGCTGAGTGCAGAGAACATGCTCCTGAGAGCTCCTTCCCACTGGTAGGGCCCCAAGGAGAGGAGAGCTTTTGAGACGCTCTGCTCTGGGCGGTGCTCCTGTCCCTCACGCCCATTCATCATTTGCATTTCCGTGACATCACAGATATGCTGGTTGGGAAGTGTCCTGACTCCCCTCCAGACGGATGCTTCTGGGCAAAAGTGCCTTCCTCCGGAGACAGAAAGAAACCACTAGTTCTGGGAACTGTGACCTTCTGGACCCAGAGGGTGGCATCTGATGAGTCCTGTGACCCCCTGCGCTGTTCATTGCCTGAGCTCTTGAAATCCTTGGGGCAGGGCTGTGTGACCCTGCTCTTCTCCACCTGCACCTAGCATAATGTAGGGCCAACTGGACATTTTGATAAAAACAGTGATGAAATAGAATGTGATCAAGATACAGTGAAAGAGGGCTGGGGATTTAGCTCAGCGGCACAGTGCCTGCCTGGCAAGTGCGAGGTCGTGAGTTCAATTCTTGATTTGGAAGCACTTCTGGAAGTCCACTTTTTTGTGAGTCTTTAGAAAATATGATACAAACATGGTGACTACAGTCACTGAGGGCCATGCAGCAAAAGGAAGGTTATAATAGCACGTGTCCTAGCTCAGGCTGTTCCCCAAAGTCAAAATGACTGTGAAATTTGAATTGATTCACAAATTTGAGGCAGCCACAAAAGCAGAAGGGCTTCCAGAACTGCTTCAGAAAGTGCTAGGAAGAGCCAGGTGTGGTGGTGCAGGGCTGTAATAGCAGCACTTAGAGGCTGAGGCAGGAGGATCACCACAAGTGTGAGGCCAGCCTGAGGCTACACAATAAGACCCAGCCTAAGGAAAAAAAAAAAAAAAGCAGGAGCTATGAGTTAAGAGTGTTTGAAGTGAGGAGAGAGTATTTTGAGGAAGGTTAATGGTGACGTGTCTTAAACATTTTACTGTATTTTTTAGTCATACCTCATAAGTCAGAATTGTATGCCAGAAGGGGACTGTTAATAACTTTATTAAATAAACAGTGAGAGGAGGCTGTTGACCAAGACAAACAGCTATTCCCATGGGGTGATTAGAAGCGCTTCCTCTGGCTCTTGTCCCCAAATACCCATCGTTTATGCAGATGGAGGAGAAAAGTTCTAGCCCTGGGTGGGCCTCTGATGCTCCAGAAAATTGGCAGTGTCCATGGCTTCCCATTTCTGTGTTCCTTGGCCCCTGCTCTTGCCTGAGCTGCTGTGGCTCTCAGGCTTGTTCTCAGGGCTCAGGGGCATGGCACCGCCTCCCAGAGATCCTGCCCAGAGTTCCTCTCCAGTAGTTCTTACTTGTGGCCATGCTGTGGGCCCGGCACTCCTGACCATGTTCCATGAGGCCTACGATGACTTCGAGGAGCTGGCAGGAGGAGAGGCTTCCGGATGCAGCGTGACTGCAGCCGCGCGCTCGCTGGGCTCTGCAGAGGCCGGATGTGGGGAGCTGTGGGAACTGGGATGGGAATGGCTCTGCAGGCAGGAGCCAAGTTCTGGGTTAGACGTCCCTCCCCCAGCCCTCACTGCTCCTTTGGGACAACATACCGCCTGCTGCCTGCTGCAGGAGCTGTTTCTAGGAACTGCTTACTCAGTCTTGCATTTGGGGGAATGCAGAGCCCCAGCTAGGGGAAGCAGAGGGGAACAGAGCAGCATATCTTTGGCTTGGGAGCGGGGACCCCAAATCTTTGAGGGACATTCCCATGTCCTTTGTGGGCAGCAGAGTGTGCCGTTCCTCCTCAGTGTGTGGAATTCCTAGAGCAGGCTCCCTGCACACACTGTGAGCCTTGACTTTCTGTAGCGGGATCTGACCCTGAATGCATCCCAGGTTCCTTCCAGCTCTGAGCCCAAGAGCCCTGGCTCGCTGGTGGTCTCCAGCAAGTGGCAGTGAGCTCTGCGCTTGCCTGACAGCCCTGACTTTATAGCTAGAAAACCCAGAGAGCCCTGTTGCGCTCAGGGCTGAGGATTTTTTTATTAGGCCTTTTGATTTTGGCTTTAAGCCCTGACCCCCAAGGGTAGAAAGAATGTCCTTTGGCTTTGCGGACCTCCAGCTTCCTCCCTTCCCCAAAGAGCCTCTTTGTCGCCTTCTGCCAGCCTCACCCACTGCACGCTCACTCTCAAAGCTTTCTTGCTCCCTTTCTGGTGTCAGTGAAGGGAAAATCCACTGCTAGAGGGGAGGAGCCAATGAATTTATTTGGCTCTTGCACGAAGAGAAATAATGATCAAAAGACTTCATCCCACAGGGACTGAGGAGAGTCCTCTGTCCACCCCCCCCAGTCCACTTCCCAGTGCCGGGCCAATGGGCTGAGGCTGGCGCTGCATTGCGAAGACCACCCTGGGTTCTACTAGGAAGGATTGGGGTGCTCTTTCAGGATTATTCTCGGTACCCGTGGGATTCTTCAGCCCCTGCTCTGCTCTGTGGACACAGGAGAGCAGAGACTTTGGGATGCCTGGCTGCTTGGCCTTCCTGCCCTTTATGTCTACAAGTGTGCAGTCTTTGTTCCCCACTCTGCCAGATGAATGAGGGTCCCAGCTTCCTTTACAATAGGAAAACTGATGTTCAGAGGTTTGCCAAGATCTCCCAGCTGGTATGCGATAGCCTTCCCCGTCAGCTCAGTCCTGGAGACACGGAAAGATCCAAAGAGCTGAGGGCTGGGCAGCCTGGGGGTCAGCAGGTGGGAGCCCTGAGTGTCCTGACCCTGGCCCCCTGGCCCTGTGCAAGCTGTCTGAGGGGCAGGGACAAGCCCTCTCCTGTGGTCACCCTCAATGCTAAGCTCTGGGGGTAGCATAGATGTTGATTTTAGTGAACTAGAATATCCTACGTCATGGATCTCACACAGCTAAGGGCAAGACCGGGAGCCCAGGCTGAGCATTCGTTGGAGAAGTGGACATCTTGGGAGCTTCCTTAGATCTATGATTATTTAATTAATTAATTTATTTATTTATTTTTGTGTTTTAGGGAAGGGTCTACAGGGTGTTCAGGGTCTCACTACTAGATTGGACTCATAGTGATCCGCTTGTTTACAGCCTCCTAAGAACTGGGATTACAGGCATGTGCCACTATATCCAGTCTCAATTGCCATCTCAGCACGCCCTGGGGGCAGAGCCTAGCATGGCAGGCCCAGGGACCGAACCCCTGGCCTCTGTGCTTGCTGTAGGTGCTTTAATCCGCTGAGCTATTTGGCTGGCCCCCAAGATCTATGATTATAAATGTCAGGCCTGACTGCTGTTGTCTGAGAGTTCTAGAAACAGAGGGAAGTGGGGTCCAAGGAAGGGGCATTTTGGAGCCGCACTGTTTGAGATAGTAGGCATTACCTGCCTCTGTTTAAATTGAATTAGAAGTCAAGTCAATTTAAAAATGTATTTCTTTCCTTCCATACGCCTCGTGGGAAGTCCTCAGAACCACCTATAGGTACTAGCTGGTGAAGCTGCAGATGCAGGATATTCCTACCTACCACACAGTTCTAGTGCATGGTGCTGGGCTAGACACTCTGCCTGGGAAGGTTAAAACAGAAGGTGGAAGGGGAACAGCCTTGTCGAGGCAGAAATCAGAATGCAGCCCCCAGAGTCCCCGCAGAGTCCCTCGGCCCATGGCCTGGACTCCGGCTGGCTCTGAGCTGCCTCCTAACGCAGGTGCTGCTGCTGTGCAGGCCTCCTGGAGGGCCGCAGGTGAGGAGCTGTGCCCTGCTGACCTGCTTGTCCTCCCTCCTGCCTAGGTGGCTCTCCTACCTCCTGCTCTTCATCCTGGACCTGATCATCTGCCTCGTCACCTGCCTGGCCCTGGCCAAACGCTCCAGATGTCTCCTTGCCTCGTGAGTCACCCTTCCAATGGGCTTGGGACAAAGAACTAAATAGGAGAGAGGCCTTGGGGGTGGGGAGGCGATGCAACAGCCAGCTGGGGTTCCCTGTGTGTCCCCTCCCTAGCTGGTCTGATTCTGGGCCAGATAAAGGAACACAGCTCAGGCCTAGCGCATCCAGCCACTAGGCCAGTACCTCCTTAGCTGTGTAAGCTCACAGCTGGGCTCTAGCCCTTAGGCACAGGTCACATAGTCCTCTCCTAACCATTAGCAGGCTAGTGGCAGAGTCGGGGAGTAGAAAGAGAAGGTTACTGAGAGCAGGCAAGGTGACCACCAGCACTGGGGTCCCTTCCCACTCACTGGTGGGTCTCACAGCCTCGACCTTTTTCTAGGATGCTGTGCTGTGGGGCGATAACGCTGCTCCTCAGCTGGACCTCCCTGGCGGCCGACACCACTGCAGCAGTAGTGAGTAGGGGCCCTGGGGGGCAGTGGGCTGTCCTGTGACCTGTCCTGTCCTGTCCTGACCCTTGGGAAGGGCCAGCAGCCGGCTGCCACCCTCCCCTAGCATTCCAGAATCCTGGAATCCAAGTACTCAGAGCACCTCGGCCAGCCCCTCACCCTCCAGATGGGAAGACACTCAGAGAAAGGACAGGGCTTGCCCAAGATCATGGGACATTTAGGGATAGAGCCCAGCTGTAATGTTACTGTATGGCCTGGGCTCCTGAGGTTCACTCCTCTGTGGCCTCCGCACTTGTACATACTCTAACACACACACACACACACACACGCTGCATGCTTGTACACATGGTGCCTCAATGTGCCATGGAAAAGTAGGGTCCTCATTCTCTCAGTCCTGGGAGCAGCTCTGGAAGAATTGTGGGCTTGAGGTATGGTTCTGTTGCCACGAGATGGCTCTGTGCTCGGGGCAGTCTCAGTCATGTGGGGCCCTGCTACTATCCAGAGTCACCATAGTCTGGGCCCAGGGAGGGCCTAGGAGAAACTGTCTGAATCTCTCATCCTGCCGCCCTCAGCCATGATGGATGATGGGTAATCTAGGTAAATTTTGCACTAATGAGCCTTGTTTTGCCAGTGTTTAGGCAAACGCTCCCTAAGTGCCTAGCACCCCTCACTGCTGAGCTGAAAGTGGGCTTTGTTCTGCTTTTATTACCTAGTAGCCATTTAGAAAGAGTCTATTGTTTTCAGCAAAAACCACTTTTAAGCCCCCTCCCTTCTCAGAAGAGAGCACAAATCCTACTTCTGATGAGTAATCCTACTTCTGTTGAGGGTTCAGGAATTAGTTTGTTGCTCCAGCGGTTTCTATCTATCTGAAGCCCTCCACCCAAACTCATGCTTTGGCAGGTGCCAGGGTCCCCCAGCAGCTCTGGCCTGGGGCACTTTGGCTCCAGGATGCCCACAGAATGAATGGTGCCACTTGATTCCACGGCCTTTGTTCAGAAGGGGGGAGGAGGTGGGCATCTCTCGTCCCCTGACATTGCACCATGCCCTCATATTGACCAGTGCCAAAGGACAGCGTACAAGTATCCAGGTCACGCTCAAAGTCCTGGTGACCTCTGGGACGGGAGGGCTATTCACAGAGCAGGGAAGGAGCCTGTAGGCTGGAGTGATCTGCGCAGCTGCCTGGCCAGTGGCCTCCTCCCAGCATGAGTACAAGCGCTGGGAAGCGTCCTGCAGTGTCCCTGGGCACAGTCCTGTTCTGGGGCTGTCGCTGCCTCCTGCACACAGGGTAACTTCCAGCTTGCCACCATGAGCTGCCCATTGGGAGTGTTTCTCTCCCAGCAGGGGCTTCTCCTCTCCCCAGGCTTCTCGTTGGGGACAGCACAGGCGACTGATTTCAGCTAGCAGTGCCCTGGAATGCCAGGGAGCTGGGAGCTGTGCCATTTCCCTAATTCCCTTCAGTCGGGCCCTTGTGCAGGGAGGAGGGTGTGAGGCCAGGCTGAAAGGGCCTTTGATAGGGCAAGGGATGCTGTGCATTTTAATAGGAAGAGGGGTGAGGAGGAGCCAAGGGGGGGAAGGGGAGACCAACCGACCAGCTGTCAACAGGTCATTGTCAGAGCTTTAGTGTGGCCTCAGCTGCCGCCCTGCTCCTCTCAGCAGCCTCTCCCCGCCTTGCTCCAGAAGGAGCATCACAGGCAGAGCATTGCACCTGCGAATCTGCTCCAGGTGATGCTGAGTGGAAAGTAGCCAGGGGCTGGGGGCCCAAGGGAGCTCAGAGCCTGCAGGCCTGTGACTCCGACCACAGGTCCCCTGGCACCTGCGGGGTCAGCAGTGAGCACAGAAGAGCTCAGGAGATGTGGGCAGAGGAGAAGAAACGCCTGGAAGGAAGGGCCCCAGATAGACTAGCCAGGAGGAGTCACTGTCCCAGGGCAGCCTGAGGTCTGTGCCATGTCTGCCTCTACTGTGTCCCAGTAGTGGAACCTCAGGAAAGGCCCTGAAGTTCTCCGTGCCTCAGTTTCCTCCAGTGTACAGTAGGAGAATGAGAGCACCTGCTTGGGAGGGTTGTGGAGAGAGGTGAGCGGGTGCAGCCGTGGTGGGCACTCCCCAGTCCCAGGAGGTGGACCTGAGGGTAACTTGGCGTCTGACACACAGGCCTGGCCTAAGAGCGGAAGGAGGGAACGAGACCTCCTCCCTCTCCTTGGATCCCAGGCATCTCGGGATGACCCTGACCAAGATAGCGGCCTTGCCTTTCTTTGTCAGGCTTCCTTGCTCCCCTCCAGCCGCCCCACCTCTTGCGCTATCTGTGGTGCTGGCTTTGCAGCTATGGTTGGCAGTACGGAGCTGGCTGCTCTGCTGTGTACATGAGTGGCTTACGTATGTGCAAAGCAGTCCTCTCAGGGTCCTGAGCATCTGGGGATGATTGTGTGTGCGTGTGTGTGTGTGTGTGTGTGTGTGTATGTGTGTTTGCGTGTGCACGCATGTGCGCACATGCATGCAGAGCTCTGGGGAAGCCCTGTATGTAGTGGGGCCCATTGTTCCCCAGACCCCTGTGTACATTCTGTAGCCATGACGTGGGCCAGAACCAGGCCTGGTACTGATCTATCCACTCAATGAATGAGTGCTGCTGTGGCATGAACCCCCAAAGCAGTGGCCCCTGAGGAAGGAGAGGGCCAGGGAGCTTGCACTAGTGGGCACAGTGGCCCTGCCTCTCACAGGCTTGAGTTTATAGAGCTTCCTGAGGCTGTTTCTGAAAGGCATCTGCAGTACCTTTCTGGTCCACTTTTCCCAGTGCCCCACGCCACCCCATGCCAGATCATGTTGAGGGGGGCAGGCTCAGAGGACAACATCCACACGGGTCTTGGGGTCACCTAGGCAAGCCATGCTGCACGTATAGACTTGCCAGCTCATCTGGTCCCCATCCCCGTGCTCCTCCTGCACCCCACCCCATCTCAGCAGATGAAGATCTGCCCCCAAATGTGGCCAGAAGGATTCAGCTCTAACCTTACTTTTTAGGGGGTGAGTCAGAGGGAATTTTTATAGTTTGACTGCCGGAGAATATGGAGCTTGAAAACAACTAGCAAAATATGGGCAGATGAGGCCAAAGGGCAGGAAACTCCCCCACACCCCTGAAACTGCCCCTGGACCTAGATGCACAGATGCCCCCATCTGCAGGAATATGAATCATATAGTTAACATGTCACTTTCCAGAACATTTTGCACATGTTCGTTTGTAAGGTAAACAGTGTTATTGCCTCCACCTGCCAGATGAGATAACTGAGGCAACAGAAAGAAATAACTGATTCACAGTAACAGGTAGAAAAGGGCAGAGGCAGGATTGGAACCCAGGAGGACATTCCTGACCTTTTCTACCATGATGAGCAGGAAGGCGCCGAGGGCTGAGGCTGAGGCAGTAGGCGCCTGGCTCCTCCCAGGACCCAGGTCTGACCTTCCTCCGCTCTTCCCACCTCTCCCTGACTCAGGGCACCAGTGACTTCTGCATGGCCCCCGACATCTTCATTCTGAACAACACACAGAGCCAGATCAGCACAGGTAACATCCTGGGTCTGCTGCCCTGGGGGGCTCAGAGTGGGCCTTGTGGCCGGCCAGAGCGCTTTTCCCTGCCCTCAGCCTTTTGAGTCTATAGAGATCCTCCTTTGAAGGGTTGGTGGTGGAGAGGGATACCGGGCTTGACCCGCTGCGGGTGGCAAAGGATCTGGCCCCTCCTGAGCCACCTGATGCCTGTTTTTCCCTTGCAGAAGTGGCCCGCTACTACCTTTACTGCAGCCAGAGTGTGAGCAGCCCCTTCCAGCAGGTACAGTGCCCAGCCACAGCGACCCCAGGTCCACCTCCAGTCAGGAAGGTAGCTGGTGCCCTTGCTTCATTGTGCTGGCTCAGCTTCTTCTCAGAAGGACCTGGGCTCTCAGTCAGCATGGTCCAGAGTCCTGCCTCCCACACAACCCCACATGTACAGCCTCTGGGGTGCTCCTTACCAGGCAGCTGCTGTGTAAGATGTCAGAGTGAGCCCAGGAGTCTGTATTTCTCACATGCGACCAGTGTGAGGAACACAGTTGAGAAGCTGGCAGACTGTGTGGCTCTCAGGAAGCCAGAGGGATGGGGCAAAGGGGAGGATTTCCCTCAGGCAGGAAGGAGCATGCACATAGCCGTAGTGGACAGATCAGCTGGAGTGGTGGGACCTGAACAACTGGGACTGCCTTCCCTGTGTGCATTGGGGTGCCCCTCATTCTAGAGCAACTAACCTGCCCAGCCCCTCCCTGCAGGTGCAGCTGCCACCCACTTCCTGTGCATTTGTAACCAGTGGGCAGGTGGAGACGCTACACTGCAGGAGGCAGAGCCCCTCAGCAGCTCTGTGGGCTCCTGGGAAACAGCCTTCAGGGCTCTGTGTTCTCTCCACACAGGTGCTGACTGTCTTCCAGCGCTCGATGACCTCCATGCAGATCCAGGTCACCGGGCTGCTGCAGGTTGCTGTGCCCCTCTTCCCCACGGCAGAGGTAAGGTAGCTGCCTCCTGCAGCGCCTGTGCTGGGAGAGGAGCACCCAGGCTTAACTCTGGCACCCTTTCCCCTTCTCGGCCCCTAGCCCCAGGCCCAGCTGTGGAGAGCTGGCTGCGGCCTGCACCCCTCCCGGGTGCCTCAGCCCCTTCCTTTGGCTCTGAGAGCCTCTTTGTACCCCCCGTCTGTGGTTTGATCTGTGAGCCCTGCTCCCACCTCCACTCTCTCTGCCCTCCTCTCTGCTATAGAAAGATCTCCTGGATATCCAGCTCCTGCTGAACTCCTCAGAGAGCAGCCTCCACCAGCTGACAGCCATGCTGGATTGCCGAGGGCTACACAAGGTGCGGGGTACCCCAGGTGACACAGAAAGAAAAGTCAGCAGAGAGACCAGGGAGAGGTTGCTTGGGCTCCTTGCAGGCGGTAGGAAGCAGGAGGAAGTGCTGGCTTCTCACTCTCCTCCGGTGGCTAAGACAGGGAGGCCCTGTGAAAGGAAGCAGGGGCAGGAGGAGGAGGAGGCTGGATCAGGTTGGCTCTTGAACGTGGGAGGATGCTGACTTGTCAGAGGGAAACAGGTCCTGTTGTCTACACTCAGGGCCATCTAGTCAAACCATCCACCTCCTTGGGCTGAGTTGTCGGGGTCACCTGGCTTCCCAGGAACATGGAATATCAGACAGGATTGCGGTAACACATTACTGTGCGGGATACGTGAGCACCGCCCACCCACTAGCAGAGAGCCAGCGTGTGTCGTCATCCACATCTGGTGCGGACTGAGAGCCAGTAGTCATAATAGTGACTGTGGGAATGGTTTCCTAAGTGTGCAGCTCTTTGCCCTCACAGCAGTTTCTATCCAGTGTGTCATTTGTCCCCCCAGTGACAGTGCGAAGAAGTTATTTCATGAGAAATCTTAGAAGTTAGGAAGCTAAGCGTGTGCATTGGTAGATAGACACACATGTGTGTGCATGCATGTGTGAACGTGTCCATTAACACCTCAGCGAAGCTTTCAGAGCTGGCAAGGCAGGGGTGCAGTTTTAGATCCCGGCAGTGATTTCAGAGCCAGGAGCGTGCGTCATCCTGCACCCTCTCTCCTCTCTCCCAGTGCTTCAGCAAGTTCTGGCAGCTCTCTCCCAGATGCATCCTGAAGCATGCGTGTGTCTGTCGGCCCCACCCCCTCCTGTGGCTTCCACTCAGGTGCCATCCTGCTCCCCTGGGTGACAGCCACAGCCTCCAGGCTGTTCCCTTGGGAAGCAGGTGCCTCTCCGCTTCCTCTGGCTCCTTACCTTCCAACACCTTTCACACGCAGCTGCCAAGGTGGTCATTTTTAAAAAATGAATCCTCCCTGGGCAGGGCCGTACCTGCCTAGAATCCCAGCACTAAGGAAGCTGAAGCAGAGCAGTTGCCACAGGGTTCAAGTCAGGCTTTGATGCATAGCGGGGCCCTTACCTGAGACAAGGAAAAAAAAAAAAAAGTCAGGTCACAGCCTTCTACCCCCAGACACTGCTTTTGCTGTCCTCCTCTCATAGGAAACCTAGATTCCTCTTGTGCTGCATGCTTTGGCTCTCTCTCTCTCTCTCTCTCTCTCTCTCTCTCTCTCTCTCTCTCTCTCT